GTCCCTACTAGAACTCTGGTAATTTTTAGATGAATAGAATTGTTAAATTTGGAAGAAATAAATTTTTATTTTCGTTTTTACCAAATTTTGATTGTCTGATGGCGTTCGGGTGAGGGTGCTACTACTAAAAAATTAAAATAAAATTCTCTATTTTTTAGGATTGTGTAGGGCTCAGTCCCTTCTAGAACTCTGGTAATTTTCAGATGAATAGAATTGTTAAATTTGGAAGAAATAAATTTTCATTTTCGATTTTACCAAATTTTGATTGTCTGATGGCGTACGGGTGGACCTGCTACTACTTAATAATTAAAAAAAATTCTCTATTTTTTAGGATTGTGTAGGGCTCAGTCCCTACTAGAACTCTGGTAATTTTCAGATGAATAGAATTGTTAAATTTGGAAGAAATAAATTTTCATTTTCGATTTTACCAAATTTTGATTGTCTGATGGCGTACGGGTGGACCTGCTACTACTAAAAAATTAAAATAAAATATTATATTTTTTAGGATTGTGTAGGGCTCAGTCCCTACTAGAACTCTGGTAATTTTCAGATGAATAGAATTGTTAAATTTGGAAGAAATAAATTTTTATTTTCGATTTTACCAAATTTTGATTGTCTGATGGCGTTCGGGTGAGGGTGCTACTACTAAAAAATTAAAATAAAATTCTCTATTTTTTAGGATTGTGTAGGGCTTAGTCCCTACTATAACTCTGGTAATTTTCAGATGAATAGAATTGTTAAATTTGGAGGAAATAAATTTTTATTTTCGATTTTACCAAATTTTGATTGTCTGATGGCGTACGGGTGGACCTGCTACTACTAAAAAATTAAAATAAAATTTTCTATTTTTTAGGATTGTGTAGGGCTCAGTCCCTACTAGAACTCTGGTAATTTTTAGATGAATAGAATTGTTAATTTTGGAAGAAATAAATTTTTATTTTCGATTTTACCAAATTTCGATTGTCTGATGGCGTATGGGTGGACCTGCTACTGCTTAATAATTGAAAAAAAATTCTCTATTTTTTAGGATTGTGTAGGGCTCAGTCCCTACTAGAACTCTGGTAATTTTCAGATGAATAGAATTGTTAAATTTGGAAGAAATAAATTTTTGTTTTCGATTTTACCAAATTTTGATTGTCTGATGGCGTTCGGGTGAGGGTGCTACTACTAAAAAATTGAAATAAAATTCTCTATTTTTTAGGATTGTGTAGGGCTCAGTCCCTACTAGAACTCTGGTAATTTTCAGATGAATAGAATTGTTAAATTTGGAAGAAATAAATTTTCATTTTCGATTTTACCAAATTTTGATTGTCTGATGGCGTACGGGTGGACCTGCTACTACTTAATAATTAAAAAAAAATTCTCTATTTTTTAGGATTGTGTAGGGCTCAGTCCCTACTAGAACTCTGGTAATTTTCAGATGAATAGAATTGTTAAATTTGGAAGAAATAAATTTTCATTTTCGATTTTACCAAATTTTGATTGTCTGATGGCGTACGGGTGGACCTGCTACTACTAAAAAATTAAAATAAAATATTATATTTTTTAGGATTGTGTAGGGCTCAGTCCCTACTAGAACTGTGGTAATTTTCAGATGAATAGAATTGTTAAATTTGGAAGAAATAAATTTTTATTTTCGATTTTACCAAATTTTGATTGTCTGATGGCGTTCGGGTGAGGGTGCTACTACTAAAAAATTGAAATAAAATTCTCTATTTTTTAGGATTGTGTAGGGCTCAGTCCCTACTAGAACTCTGGTAATTTTTAGATGAATAGAATTGTTAATTTTGGAAGAAATAAATTTTTATTTTCGATTTTACCAAATTTCGATTGTCTGATGGCGTTCGGGTGAGGGTGCTACTACTAAAAAATTGAAATAAAATTCTCTATTTTTTAGGATTGTGTAGGGCTCAGTCCCTACTAGAACTCTGGTAATTTTCAGATGAATAGAATTGTTAAATTTAAAAGAAATAAATTTTTGTTTTCGATTTTACCAAATTTTGATTGTCTGATGGCGTGCGGGTGGACCTGCTAATACTTAAAAATTGAAATAAAATTCTCTATACTTCAGGATTGTGTAGGGCTCAGTCCCTACTAGATTTCTGGTAATTTTCAGATAAATAGAATTGTTAAATTTGGAGAAAATAGATTTTCATTTTTGTTTTTACCAAATTTTGATTGTCTGATGGCGTTCGGGTGAGGGTGCTACTACTAAAAAATTGAAATAAAATTCTCTATTTTTTAGGATTGTGTAGGGCTCAGTCCCTACTAGAACTCTGGTAATTTTCAGATGAATAGAATAGTTAAATTTGGAAGAAATAAATTTTTATTTTCGTTTTTACCAAATTTTGATTGTCTGATGGCGTTCGGGTGAGGGTGCTACTACTATAAAATTGAAATAAAATTCTCTATACTTCAGGATTGTGTAGGGCTCAGTCCCTACTAGAACTCTGGTAATTTTCAGATGAATAGAATTGTTAAATTTGGAAGAAATAAATTTTCATTTTCGTTTTTACCAAGTTTTGATTGTCTGATGGCGTTCGGGTGAGGGTGCTACTACTAAAAAATTGAAATAAAATTCTCTATTTTTTAGGATTGTGTAGGGCTCAGTCCCTACTAGAACTCTGGTAATTTTTAGATGAATAGAATTGTTAATTTTGGAAGAAATAAATTTTTATTTTCGATTTTACCAAATTTCGATTGTCTGATGGCGTATGGGTGGACCTGCTACTACTAAAAAATTGAAATAAAATTCTCTATACTTCAGGATTGTGTAGGGCTCAGTCCCTTCTAGAACTCTGATAATTTTTAGATGATTAGAAATATTAAATTTGGTAGAAATAAATTTTTATTTTCGTTTTTACCAAATTTTGATTGTCTGATAGCGTATAGGGTAAAAGTGGGTATTATCGCGGTATTTTGTATTTTAATGAATATTTTAAATAATATAAAAAAATTTTGACTCTAAAAAATCACTCTTTGAACCTGACATATAAGACATTATAATTTGTATCATATTTTGGATTATTTTTGAATTAATTAATTTATTAAAAATTATTTAAAATTTGTTGTCTGAAAAACGTTTAAAATGGCTCACCTCGGATTGAAATTCAACTCTTCAGTAGTGTCTAAAATTATTGTTCTTATATTATATAATGCTTTAAGAGATGATTCTTTTTTTATATTTTGGTAAATATATTGTTGTTCTTCATAAAAAAAATTTGTTTAGTTAAAAAAAATTAATTTTTAGTCACGATAATGGAGACATCTTTTTTTAACATGTGGGTATTTTCGAGGCTCGTATCATAACCCTTGTAAGTAAGGTTAGCAGTATGTCTCTAAAGATTAAAACGTTGAAATTATAGCCGATATTATTTTTCTTGTTTTAATTTATATTTTATTAAAAAATACTTGTATATATATATATATATAAAATTAATTTTCAACTAAAGAAATGTTGAATTAACATTGTTTTTCCATTTTGCACAGTAACTGTTAAACACATTTAAACACAACAAAAATTTCTTTTATTGGAACGTTCAGAATTTTAGTAAATCTTATATAACAGTTACAAAATACAAGCAAGAAAATAAAGAGTAATGGGAGGGACAAGAAAATTAAAGTAAGTGAGATCTGTATATTTAAGGGAAAAATTTTTAATAGCTGTAAAAAAGGAGCAAAAGTGTCAAATGAGAATTGACTGTACGTTAGAAATATTTGATAATAATTGCTTTAGAATATTTTATCACAGTATTATTTTATATTATGAGACTAATTAAATTATTATAATAAAACCAAGTATCTTTTTTCTAGTGATACTAGTTTGCTATTGAATTCGTCCATTTATTATAATGCATAAAATTTTTTTAATTCAAGTTCTTGCGATATTTATATTTTTATTTTTAAAAACTATTATTATTCCTTTTAATTTTTTACATTTACTAAATTTTAATTAAGTAACTATTACAAAAATCCAAGAAGCAATAAATAAATTATCCGCGATATTTACCGCGCGATAATACACTCATCCACGATATTTGACACGCGAAAATACCCTTAAGTCATTCTAAGTCCCACGAGATTACAAGCATTTGAGTCTTCTATTTAATTATTTATTTAAATATTAAAACTATTTTCTACAACATGTATATGCATATATTTATCATTAGTTTATTATTGATTATAACCATTTTTTATTTCAAATATTACAAGGGAATAATATTTTTAACCTTTTCTTAAAAGTATTTTTATTACTTACAAAGCATAGATTTTGTTTCTAGTAAGAAATTATTTGTTTGCAAATTTATTTATTATTAATTGATTAATTATTATTAATTATTATTTAATTAATAAAAATTTTAATTATAGTTTTGTAATAGTTTTAATAGTTTTGTAGATTTATAAAAATGAAATTACCAGAAATTTATAAATAAATAAATTTATGTGTTAAAAAATAAATTTATTGATTGTCAATCACTAATAAATTAATTAAATTTATAAATTATTAGCAACAACAAATTGGAAGTTTTTATTTTTTTAAATTTTATTATTAGGCAATAAAATATTTAATTAATTTTTTTAAATATATGGGTTTTTTTGTTCTGATTTGTCAACATTTTAGTTATTTAAAATAACTTAAAGACTAATTATATTGATGCTAGTTTTATAATCCAAATTAATATGATTAATAATTTGAAAGTGGTAATACTTAGATATTCAATTTTATAATCCCGATTAACTGTCCTATATACAATGTAAAAATATTATAAGAAGTATAATCTGGATTATATCACATATAATCCATTTTTCTCCGTGTGTAAATTTTCCGATAATTCAAATAAAGAAGAAATAATAAATAAATTAAAAATTAGTTGGTTTCCCAGGTAAAAATGATTCGTAGGAAATTCGTACGCATTTCGTTCCGAAATCCGACCAGATTCGTACGGAATTCCTATCGAATTCGTATGAAATTACTAGCGAAATTCGTGTTGCGTTTTGTAACGTTTCTTCGCACGAATATTCGTGCGAATAACACACCCGCATTTTTTTAAATGGATTTTCAAGAAATATTTTCGTTTGGAAATCCGAATGGAAATTCGCACGGAATATTTTTGACAATTTCTTCAAAAATTTTCAGTCAAAATTTCATACGAAATTCGTACGAAATTCGAGCGAATTACGAACGAATGTATTTTGAAAATTTTTTTTTATAAAATTCTGCTCGGAAATTCGTACGGAATTCCGCACGAAATGTCACCTAAAAATTCCCTCAAAAATTTTCATCGAAATTTCCATATGAAATTCTTACGAAATTCGAACGAATTACGAACGAATTAATTTTGGCAATGTGGCCGAAAATTTTTGAAGATATTTTTGGCTGACATTTCGTGTGGAATTCTATACGAATTTCCGAGCAGAATTTTATAAAAATTTTTCAAAATAAATTCGTTCGTAATTCGCTCGAATTTTGTACGAATATCGTATGGAAATTTCGTCGAAAATTTTTGAGGATATTTTTGGCTGACATTTCGTGCGGAATTCCATACGAATTTCCAAGCAGAATTTAATAAAAAATTTTTCAAAATACATTCGTTCGTAATTCGTTCGAATTTTGTACGAATTTCGTATGGAAATTTGACCAAAAATTTTTGAAGAAATTGTCAAAAATTATTCCGTGCGAATTTCCATACGGATTTCCGATCAAAAAAAATTCTTGAAAATCCATTTAAAAAAATCCGGGTATTATTCGCACGAATATTCGTGCGAAAAAACGTTTCAAAACGCCACACGAATTTCGCTAGTAATTTCATTCGAATTCGATAGGAATTCTGTACGAATCTGGCCGGATTTCGGAACGAAATGCGTACGAATTTCGTACGAATCATTTTTACCTGGGATTTCCCTTTATTCAATAGCAAAAATATAAAAGTTACATATTTGACCATAAATCACATTTATCACTTGGATTCATAAAATCTCCTTCTTGACAATTGAATGCCATTGCGAATTCCTTCATATTCTGTAAAGTTCCAATGACCCTCGCCTTGGCTGGTGAATGACTTCTCTTATTAGGTGTATCACGAATTTCACAATATCGCTGCGAAAATATTCAAAAATAAATTTACAAAATTTTAAACTTTTATAACTTGTACAGTTGTAAAATAAAATTTATTTTATTTTTTAATTAAAAATTAATAATCACATTTGCAAATGATATAAAAAACAGTTTGTTTGCATCGAAACCATAAAGATTTGTTAATCTCTCATATTCTAAATCTGGATTAAGTTCGATAAGTCGTCTCATTGTTTTAAATGCCAATTTTAATCCTTCTGTGTCAGCAACGTTTTCGGACAAGCTGGTCATACCATTTTCCTATTTATGTGAAAATATTCTTTAAATAAAAAATTAATTATTTTTGATAACTTTATTTTTAGAGGCGCATGATTATTCCCCAAAATGTCATTTGAACGGACTGTCATTTTACCGAATTGCATTTATTCGAACTGTTATTTTAACGAAATGTCACACTTTTGCGAATCGTCATTTTTATAAATTGACACTTTTTCGAAAAGTCATTTTTGCGAAATATCATTTTTACGAATTGTTATCTATGCGAACTGACATTTTTTCGAATTGTCATTTTTACGAAATGTCACTGTTACGAATTGCCATTTTTGCGAATCGCCATTTTTACGAATTGTCACTTTTGCGAAAAGTTATTTTTTCGAATTGTCATTGTTACGAAATGTCACTGTTACGAATTGTCATTTTCGCGAAAATTCGCAATAGTGACATTTCGTAAAATTGACAATTCGAAAAAATGGTAGTTCGCATAAATGACAATTCGCAAAATGACTATTCAAAAAAATGAGTTTTCGCAAAAGTGACAATTCGTAAAAACGTCGATTCGCAAAACTGACATTTCGTAAAAATGACAATTCGAAAAAATGACATTTCGGAACAATAACTATTCGTAAAAATGACAATTCGTAAAAATGATATTTCGCAAACATCACTATTCGCAAAAGTGACAATTCGTAAAAATGGCAATTCGCAAAAGTGACATTTCGCTAAAATAACAATTCGGATAAATGCAATTCGGTAAAATGACAGTTCGGTCAAATGACATTTGGGGAATAATCATGCGCCTCACTTTAAATAATGTATAAAATATTAGATAGTACATGGTTTTATGAACTTTTAGCAACTTTGAAACTTAAAAAATATTAACATTTGTGCAAACTGTAGAAAAAAAAATTTTTTTTTTAAATAAAATTTTATAATTTTAATAAAGTTTTAATGAAAAGTCTAAAAATAATTATGAAAAATCACTCTTTTTTGCTGTCAAAAAGTATAATTTAATTACTTGAAGTACCCTTAATTACTTGAATTTGATTAAATCGAATCGTCATGCACTGAAAATAGTTCCAAAATACATTTTCCCATTGTGTTTCATTTTGAAAATAATCTATTAAATAAAAAACAGTATTTATTAATTTCCAATTTATGTGAACATTATATTGGCGTTTATTCTCAAGTACTAACGTCTGTATTCAGATGGAAAAGTTATTATATCAAATGCACGATAAATTTGATGACTTATTGCAAATGCTAATCTTCCAAAATTATAGGCCCTGTTGAAAAATTTTATTAGAAACATAACATCAACTCTTAATCAATATTTTATTTTTTACTTAAATTGCTTGATACGACTCACAATGGTGCTTCTCGGAAAAAAAAGGGTGGAAACAAAAATGCAGGTGACATCACTAAAATAACATGGGATATTAATAAAATTTTATATTTACATATTAATCATTTATATATATATATATATATATATATATATATATATATATATATATATATTTTATTTAAGTGTTGAAAATTTTTATTTTCAAAACAATAATTTTTAAATAATTTAACTCACCAATAATGTTTTCATGCAACATGTAATATGCATTCATTTTTATACTTCTTTTTCGTCTTCTAAGTAAACATTTTTTTAATGATTTTACATTGTTGTAAAGTATATATATAAACTTAATCTGATTTAATGAAACTATACGTTTCTAAAACTTATAAAAATATTGTAATACCTTATTTCTTCTTGAGTGTGAGTGAAGGACAAAAAAAATTTGTAATTCGTTCGTGCCTTTTTAAAATTGATCCAATTTTGTAAAGCAACTGGAGTAACAGTAAACTGTTGAAATGTTTAAAATATTTTATATAGTTGGGATATTTTTAACATTTTTAATAGTTTGGTTCTTACAGATGAAGCTGAGTCGGTCTCATTTCTTATAAATGGTAAATGTTGTTTGCTAATCTCAAGCCTTATTCCTCTTGCCCAATTCAATACTGTTTCTATCAGAGGACCATCAAGCAAACTATTTTTAATATCACTTTCCAAGTCGGCTTTTAAATTTTCAATCACTAAATTCAACTAATGCACATGTAACAAAACAAATATTTCTATATAAAGTGTATCTTTCGACGTTAAGAAATATTTTTTGCCTACAAAATTTTAATATTCAGAGATAAAATGATTTTCATAACTTACAATCTCTTCGTTTAAGTGTGATTCATCATTCGCTAATACATTATAAAATTCGTCTGTTATTGGAATGTTGACAATACAACGAGCTGATCTTTAATTAAAAGAAAGTAAAATAAAAGTTAATTCACTTGGAAGTTACGTTAGACTTTTATAAAATTATTTTCAATTTTTTTTCGCATACCTTTCTGCATGTGATACCTCCGTCGCAAAATCATTAATAAGAAGTATCATATTTTCCAAAGTTTCAAAATTGAAATTCAAATATCGTTCTGCAAAATAAATTACTGATAATAAAGGAAATAATTCAGCTTTGGATTAGAAAAAAATAATCACCAATCACTTCGTTTGGTGTATCACTCAATATTTCACATAAGCCGCCTAAATATGACCAATCAACATCTATATGGTACGAATCTGTAAGTGGAATTGAAGTTTCTCCAGAAAGTGCTTGAAGAAATGAAAACCAGTTTATCTAGAAAAATAGATGATTCATACTATACTACGTTCTAAATAGGGTCTGTTTTAAAAATTAATTTAAAAATTAATTTAAAAATTAATTTGAATTTAAATAATTTAAATTAACCTCTGATCTAGAATTCAGTGCAGTGCAACTGGTATCATAAATTTCTTCTAATTCTCGTATACTAACTGAAATCAATGGTAATTCTGGTCCATGAACGAGCTATAACGTAAATTATGCAAATTATTCTCTAGTGCAAACTAAAATTTAATATTAATTTTAGAATGGGCAATTTTACCTCATTTACAGATTTTATAAATTCTTTAAATTCGGTTTGAAAGGAAAAGTCCGATGGTCGATATTGATTAAACCATAAATCATCGGGATTATTTCTTAAATACGTGTCTATAAAATTCATGTCTAATTCTTCAAATGATTTTTTGTTTGTTCCCGTATGCTGTGGTCTCAAAATCTATATAAATCGTTTTCTCATTAAATTGCCAGTGTATTAAAATATTTAAAACGAAAATTTATAACTTTAGTTTTCTGAGATATAATAAACCAACCATTAGTTGGCTTAATAATAATATAAATAAAATAAACCTGAAGTTTATCAGCATAGTTTAGGGAAATATGAAAAAGGGAAATTTCACCAGTTTTCAAAGCATAATATTTAGCAACATTTTGCCAAGAGGTCCCCGGAAGAGAACTTTCTGCTACCATTTTCGTGTATAAAATTTTCCCTTCATTAAATGAATGACCTGCAATAAAATGTTAATGCAATCTAATTTTGAATTGGATTGACTCTTATATTTATTGCACAATATATTATTATACCTGTATTCATGCAAGCATTGTAGAACTGTCGTTCAATGGAAAATAATTTCCTGTCATTATTTGGACCTTCCAAAATATCTAGAATAGAATTGTTAAATAATTTTTTTAAAGCGCTATTACGGTTATATTCAGATGAGCTTTTATTTCAATTAAGTGTTAAGTTTAATTTATCTTTGACTTTATTTACGGTTATATCCAGATGAGCTTTTCTTTCAATTAAGTTAAATTTAATTTACCTTTGACTTTATTGATTATGATGTCTTTGGTTATTTCATCAGAATTCCAAATTGAATGATAATTAGGTTTTGGAAATTTTTCAGCCCAATTACCACAAACATAATCATAAAAGTTTTCACAAGGATTTTGTTTATAATCCATTCCGATATCCAGCATTTGAGCTATTATTAAGTTATGTTTCATAATAAATGTTATAAATTATTTTTATATTTCAAAAAATATTTGTTAGCAATGGTAAAAAATTTTTTTTATCAAAGTTACATAACTTTAAATGTTAGTTAAACAAGCAAGTTTTTTAATAAGTGGATAATGTGCATTTAATTATAAAGTTTATGATAATCATTACTCGGGGGGTTTTCGGGGTCGCTGATAACGAATTTGGCATCAGATTGACAAAATTCAAAATGGCGGATCCAATATGGCGGATATTAAAAAAAAATTTTTTTGATTAAAAAAGAAAAATTTTTGAAAAAGATCCGCCATATTGGATCCGTCATTTTGGATTTTCAAAAATGGACACCGGATTCGTAATCAGCGACCCCAGAAACTATTAAAGAATGTTAAGATATAAAATTTTCTATGCAGGGTAAATTGCACCATTTTGGTACCGATTTCTGTAATTTAATTAAACCGTAGGAGGGTTAAGAAATTGTTTTATTAGCTATAATAAGATAAGAAATAAGAAAATAATATTAAAAGATTAAAATATGTATACATACTTATATCATGTATATTCGGATCGAAACTATAAACAATTGTTAATGTAGAGCTAGAAATAAATTTGTGATTTTATTTTTACTTCGATATTATATTATAAATGCATTATTATGCGTTTATTTTAATAAATGAAATATTATTTTTCGAAAGATATAATTTACTAAAAATACATAAGGAAACACACCCGATGACAGTTGTTTAATTATTTTTTTATTTGATGGCTTTCGTTCAAAAATTACTTCAAGTGTTGAAAATGATTATTTTCTACTTAGAAATTTTAACTTTCACTGAATTTATTTTGACAATTATGAAAATTTTTTATAATAAGACAAGACAAAGAAAATAAAAAATACTTTTAGTGCTACGAATGATTATTATTTTACTTAGAAATTTTTAATTTTGAGTTTCACTGAATTTATTTTGACAACTATGAAAGTTTTTTTTTATAATGAGACAAAAGAAAGAAAATAAAAAATACTTTTAGTGCTAAGAATAATTATTTTACTTAGAAATTTTTAATTTTGAGTTTCCTGAATTTATTTTGAAATAAATAATTGCTCGAGTAATCGTTTTGGGTAAAATTCGTAAAGAAGTTAAAAAAAATTAATAAAAACATTTTGATGTATATTAATCGAAGTAAATACAACTAGAAAACTTTACTTACAGCATTTGTAGCAAGAAATACCTGCCCATTGTTAAAAGAATATACGAAATATTTGCTGTTTTAAATATTTTAATAGAAACTGAACAATTCAATGCAAACTGTAGAATAAAATAATGTAATCAGCAGCTGTATTCTAAGAAATAATTGATTTTTATACCATTTCAGTATCAACCTGCCACGTTCACGATATTCTTGACATAAAATACAAATATATATAAAAAAGGAATAAAATTTTATTTCTTTTTGTACAGCAAGTTTTTAAGAAGAATAAAATTTAACGATTTTAAAATTTTCAGATATTTGTAAATATTTTTTTTAAGTTTGTGTCTAGAATTTAAGTTTGTTTCTACCTACAATACTTAGCTATTTACTGAAGTTCATTATGTATTTATAAATAATTACAGAACAGTACTGTATAGTATAGTACAGTACTATATAGTACGGAGCAGTATTATATAGTACAGAGCAGTATATTATAATATAGTATAGTACTGTATAGTACAGTATAATAAAGTACTGTATAGTACAGTATAATACAGTACTGTATAGTACAGTATAATACAGTACTGTATAGTACAGTATAATACAGTACTGTATAGTACAGTATAATACAATACTGTATAGTACAGTATAGAACAATATAGTAAGTAGTAGAACTATATAGTATAGTACAATTTAGTATTTTAAAATTTAGTGTAGTACAGTACTATATATAATAATAAGGTAGGTAATAATAATAGATTTGTTAACTTCTCAGAACCAATAATTTCAGGTCGATAACTAAAAGAAATGTTAAATTAAAATAAACTTTTTGCTTTTTTCCTCGGTGCGACAGTAAATCAATATAACATTATGTAATAATTTACATTTTTAATATTTCTTTTATTGATAATTGTCTGTTCTATGCATTGCGTTATATTCTTTATAGTTAAAGACAGTAATATATTTTTAAGATAATAAAATGTATTATTCTCTTTTCAAAAAAGCTGTAATATTTTGTGCAATTTACATAGCAATAATTATATTGACAAAAATATAAAAGTTACATATTTGACCATAAATCACATTTATCACTTGGATTCATAAAATCTCCTTCTTGACAATTGAATGCTATAGCAAATTCCTTCATATTCTGTAAAGTTCCAATGACCCTCGCCTTGGCTGGCGAATGACTTTTCTTATTAGGTGTATCACGAATTTCACAATATCGCTGCGAAAATATTCAAAAATAAAATTACAAAATTTATATATATATATACTTATACAGTTACAAAATAGCATATTCTATTTTATATTACAACCAGAAAACAATTTTCTTTTAAAAATTATATAGGGTAAATCAGACAGTAGTAGAACTATGTACATAGTGACGTTCTTCGTACATATTTTTCTCGAACTTTGGTTAACTTTCCGCGAGAGAGAGAGAGCACTATCTACAAGTTTAATTATGAAAATAAAATAAAAATAATAAAATAATTTACAAATAAAGCTTTTATTTTGTATTAACACATATATTTAATGCAAATTAAAAAACAATTTTAATTATTTTTTTTGTCCTACCTGCACGAAAAGTATGTCATTTCGGGCACTTAAAGTGGGCGCAAAGTAACTTATTCTCGCCCGGGGCCAGGGAAGCGGTCGCAAAAGTTCTTTTACGCCCGCTGACGTCACACAAGCGCTTCATCTAGCCCGAGCGGGCGCAAAAGTACTTTTACGCCCGCTTGCTGTACTTTTGCGCCCGCTTCGCTCGTGCCCTCGATGCCATACTTTTCATGCAGTTAGGACAAAAAATTATGTTCGCAACATGGGCGCAAAGGAGATTACGACTTTGGCGAGATTTCGGGACCTCAGGGACACTTTCGCATCCTCGGCTTCGCCTCGGGCGCGAAAATGTCCCCTCGGTCCCTTCATCTCGCCATCGCCGCAATCACCTATTTTGCGCCCTTGATACGATAATAACTATTTTTTTTGTAAAGTTAACATTTAATTTTAATAAAAATTTAATGCAGAACATAATAATCAAATAAAATAAAGTTATAATGGTAAATAAAATTTATGTATTGAGGAGCTGATAGTAAAAATGGTTTAAAATAATAACGGAAGCAAAAGTGGAATAAGTGACTTAGAAGCAAAAACAAACTAAAATGATTGTGTAATTTCTTGATAAATTAATTATAATAATTACAAAATATTAATTTAAACAAAATAAGTTTTTTTATTATTGACAATATTTTTTAAGCATTAAAATAATTAATTTATCAATAAATTACATAATCATTTTAACTCGTTTTTGCTCTCAAGTCATTTATTTCCACTTTTGCTCCCGTTATTATTTTAAACCATTTTTACTATCAGCCCCTCTAATTGTTCGTGATTTTTCGTTCAGTATTTTCAAAATAAAAAAAAAATTTTGTACGGTTTTTGAAAGCTTTTTTAAGTATCCGATTTCTGTCGGTTTAGGTGGCCGATTACTGTCGGATTCTTATTTGTTTATTTACTAATTTTTTTAACGAATAACAATTTTTTTCATAAACATGATTGATTTAATAGTTTTGTGTGATCGTAAGGAACAACATAACATAAAAGAATTCTAAAAAAAATATGAATTGCACTTTTAAAACAGTGTTAATTAAAAAGATTGCTTTAGGTGGCCGACTACTGTCGAATTCAAACTTTTTTTTTTGTAAATTTTTTCAACGAATAAGAAATTTTTTTTCTAAAGATGATTGGTATACTAGTTTTGTATACCTTATATAATAGTTTTGTAACATTAGGAACAATTACACATGAAAGAAATTTTAAAGAAATTTTAATTGTAATTTTTAAACAGCTTAAAAAGATTTTCTAAGTGGCCAACTACTGTCTGGTTTACCCTAATTATTTTTTTGTCCTACCTGCACGAAAAGTATGTCATTTCGGGCACTTAAAGTGGGCGCAAAGTAACTGATTCTCGCCCGGGGTTGGGGAAGCGGGCGCAAAAGTTCTTTTACGCCCGCTGATGTCACACAAGCGGGCGCAAAAGTACTTTTACGCCCGCTTGCTGTACTTTTGTGCCCGCTTCGCTCGTGCCCTCAATGCCATACTTTTCATGCAGTTAGGACAAAAAATTATGTTCGCAACATGATGGGCGCAAAGGTGATTACGACTTTGGCGAGATTTCGGGACCTCGGGGACACTTTCGCACCCTCGGCTTCGCCTCGGGCGCGAAAATGTCCCCTCGGTCCCTTCATCTCGCCATCGTCGCAATCACCTATTTTGCGCCCTTGATACGATAATAACTATTTGTTCGTATAAAATCTAAAATGACTTAATATATTCACATTTGCAAAGGATATAAAAAACAGTTTGCTTGTATCGAAATCAAAAAGATTTGGTAATCTCTCATATTCTAAATGTGGATTACGTTCGATAAGCCGTCTCATTGTTTTAAATGCCAATTTTAATCCTTGTGTATCAGCAACATTTTCATTCAATGTAGTCGTACCATTTACCTATGTATGTGCAAATATTTTTTTAAATACACAATTCATATTTTTGATAACACACAGACTTTATTTTTGAATTATAGAAATAATTTACAGAAAATAAATTTTTAAAAAAATTTTAATAAATTGATATTTTATTACGTGAATTTGATGAAATCGTTTCACTATGCACAGTAAATAGTTCTCCAATATATTTTCGAAATGCGTTTGATTTTGATGAAAACCTATAAGTAAAAAATATTATTTACTAATTTTTATATATGTAAACATAATATTGAATTTACTATTTTAAATATACTAACGTAAGTATTCAGAATGAATTCTTTTTAAATCAAATGCATGAGAAATTTCGTGACCTAATATAAATGCTAATCTTCCAAAATTATAGGCCCTGTTGAAAAATTTTATTAGAATTATAACATCATCGCTTAGTCAAGTTTTTATTATTTTTTTTTTACTTAAATTTCTTGAAACAACTTACAATGGTGCTCCTGGGGAAAAAGAGGGTGGAAACAACAATGCAGGTGATATCACTAAAATAACATGGGGTATTGAAAATAATTTTAAATATTTGCATTTTATTATCATTATACTATGTCTATATATTTATTTAGTATTAAATACTTCTATTTTAAAAACATGTATAACCATCTTTACTATTAGTATCAATAAATTTTAATGAAATTGAATTAATCAAATTTTCAATTATAATTATAAACAAACACGATTTTTTTTTTGAAAATTGAAAAAATTCTTTGTTTAATTCAATTATTTTCCAAATTTTTAATTAAAATTATTAAAAAAAACATTATTTTTAAAAAATTTAAAGAAACTCCTCAAAACAATTTAATTATTCATAGAAAATCTAATACAAATTTGAAAACTAAAAATCTAAATGTGACTATTTGTTGAGAAAAGTAGCTCAAAAAAGTAGCCAAAAAGTAGCCTCGTATCAAAAAAGTAGCAAATAGTAGCTTTTTGTAGAAGAGTGCGAAGCCTGCCTGTAGGTTGAAACTGCCCTTAAAATTGACCTAAATTTTGAGGGCAGGGAGATTAGTTTGTCAATTTTTTACCTGTAGGTTAAAACTGCCCTTAAAATTGACCTAAATTTTGAGGGCAGGAAGATTAGTTTGTCAATTTTTTACCTGTAGGTTAAAACTGCCCTTAAAATTGACCTAAATTTTGAGGGCAGATAAGCTACAGGTCGATTCTTGACCTGTAGGTCAGAAAATCTTGAAACAGCGACGACAGCGATATATTTTTTTAATATAGGGAAATTATACCTGTATCCATGCAAGCATTATAAAACTGCCGTTCGATGGAAAGTAATCTCCCGTAATTATTTGGACCTTCCAAAATATCTAAAACACAATTGTTAAAAAATTGATTGAAAAAAGCTTTTTCTCTTATATTCAAATGAAGTTTCAATGCACTTAACTTTATTTTTATTTATTTACATTACATTAGTTTGAAATGTTTTTCTTGATAGGCAAAATAATTCACCTTTAACTTTATTAATCATAATGTCTTTGGTTATTTCATCAGAATTCCAAACTGAATAATAATCAGGTTTCTGATTTCTTTCGGCCCAATTACCACAAACATAATCATAAAAATTTTCACAAGGATTTTGATTATAATCCATTCCGCTAACCAACATTCGAGCTATAATTAAAGTTTTATTTCATAATAAATATTATAAATTATTTTTTATATTTATTAAAAAATATTTTATTAAATAAAATTGAAAAAATGATTAGGAAAATAATTATATGGGTCATTTCATTTAAATTGTCATAATCGTGTCCTTTGCCAATAAAAACTATTTGTTATAGTTTTTGGTAAAATTTATTTTCCAATGTCGTGAAATATGCAATCTCTTTTAACATTTTTTTCAACTTGCAAGCATGTAGAGATGCTATGTATATAATAATGGCAGAACGAAATGCAGGCGCAAAATTTCATGAGTGTCCCATGTCCAGGAGTGAATTATTAGTTTTCAAGTGCACGTATTTTCGTTATATATTAATTTATCACAAGTAAACCAAAATTTTGCAGTGAACTATAATTTACATATTTAAGGAAAATTAACTGCTGATAACTGCGAATGTTCCACACATCTCAAAAAGAAATACCAAACACTAGAGTGTTCTTAAAGTAATAATTAAAATTCAAAAATTTATTTGCTCATTTTTTTACAGGATTTTAATAAACAGAGAAAAATATTTCATGTCCTCATTTAAATGTTTATTTCACGAAAAATACAATTATGTTTAATACATATTTCTGAATGGGACCATTAATTATTCAAAATATTCTGTCGATTAAAATATATTTTTGTAATTTAAACTGTGTGGATAAAATTACATTTTTCAAAAGCATGGATATCGACTTAATTATAATAACAATTTTTGTTGATTAGAAATTATTTTTTTTTAATTTCCCTAAAAAAATAGGCGATTTGTATAAAAAATATGTCATCTATGCACTTGAAAGCATAAGAAATAATTTTTTTTCTGTAGTTTATTTCTACAATCTTATCGGTGATTGGTCATTTTTTTGAAATAAAATATACATGACCAAAACCAGTTTTAAATCTAAATTAGCAATAATAAAAAAATATCAAGCTTAGTATATGAAAATTTTTTACTTTTGTCCTCAACCATTTTTTTTTTGACTACGAAAAAAATGACGTACATTTTTTAACATATTAAGTACGATTTTTTTTTAACGAAATATAATACTATCAGTGCTTTTTCTTTTGAGTGAAAATATTTTCAGTCTAAACGTCACTTTTAAACTTACTTTCGTTCTCTTATTTAAAAGAATTTTTTATTACATACGTTTTTCAATTTTAAATTTCTTTATTTCTGTAAAAGAAAAATTATCTAAATTTTGTCTCATAAAATAAATATTAAAATCTTTTATTAAGATATAATTTTTTCTTTTGAAAACTTAAATGAAATATTATGACTATTAACGATTTTCAAGTAACGTTCAAACCCAACTGATAGGATGGAAAGAATTTTTTTTTATAAAAAATTCTAATTTTTACACTGGCATTTTTTATTCTGTTTGTGTAAAAAAATATATATGCAGAATAATATAAAGACACTTTTTGCTTATAGAATTTTTTTCAAAAATACTTATTTTTCCCGGAAATTATTTATTTTTTAAATATTCAATTATTATTGTTAAAAATAAAAGAAATTAACTAGTGAAAATATTTTTTAATTCTTTTCCAAACATTATTGATGGAAAAAAAAAATTTTTTTTTTCAAATTTTTATTCTTTTTTATTTTTCTATAAACATTAAAATGTGCCCTGCCAGATGTAAAACTACATCTAAGAAACAAAATAAACTATCATGCAAAATTTTACTTTTTAGTAAACTTTAAAATAGTGCTTTTCAAGCATAACTAATTCTAAATTTTTTTTTTATAACACTCTGTTAACCCAGTGCAATTTGCATAGCAAAAATTTAATATAAATCTCTTAAAATTGCAAACCAATGTAAAAAATTAAAGTTTTCTTTTCTTGCAATCATAAGAAAAAAAAATCTTTTTTTTCTTTTAAAAAAAGTATTTTTTTTCTACAGAAATTTTTTCTTTTTGAAAATCCTAAGAATTCATTCTTTAAAATAAATGTTTTTTTAAAAAACAATAATATAAAAATTTTTGTTTCTAGAATAAGAATTGCTATTTACAAATAACAATTTTTATTCGCATCTGACAAAAATAGCTTTGAATTTAAATTAAAATTTTTTTAAACAAATTTAAATAATTTTTTTTTTGTCAAGAAATTATAATCGAAAAATAATTTTTTTGTAGAGAAATTATAATCGTAAAATAATTTTTTTGTAGAGAAATTATAATAATCGAAAAATAATTTTTTTGTAGAGAAATTATAATCGTAAAATAATTTTTTTTGTAGAGAAATTATAATAATCGAAAAATAATTTTTTTGTAGAGAAATTGTAATCGTAAAATAATTCTTTTGTAAAGAAATTATAATCGTAAAATAATTTTTGATTTTGGTAAAGAAATGAATAATGGAAAAATAATTTTTTTTTTCTAAAAGTAAAAAAAAAAGTTTCAAAAAGAAAAAATGTTCACCCTTCTTCGGCGAATAAAATGTTTTCAGAAAAATTCAAATTTTTTCCCTAATTATCTCTCACGTTTCAATGCTGATTGTAATAATGCCATACGCATTGACGTCACCAACTTTTCAAGTTCCTCGACTTTCATTTTTAATATTTTATTATCTTTCTCAAGATGTGATGCACGTTTTGACATTTCCTCCTCCTTTGCCTTTTTATTCATACGCGATTTTCTTGATGCTTGATTATTTTTTTGACGCGATTCCTTATAACTATTGTCAGAGAAATCCTCATCATCAGAATATTCAATCTCCAATTTTCGTTTAGGACCCCTTTTCTTTTGATGGCACTTTTCGCTGTCGATGTTAACAATATTTTTTGGTTTTCTCCCTCTTTTTAGTGTTACTTTTTTAAGCGAATGCTCTGATGCGCATGACGACGATGACGATGGTGATGGCAGAAAGGAGGAGGTTGATGTCGATGGAATCATTGTCTCGTAATGATCGATTTTTTCTTTTATCGATTCTTTTCGTTTTCTTAATTGTCTTTCATTATTGGGAATTTTTTGTGATGTATTCTCGGCAATTTTTGCTGTTGTTTTGATTATTTTTTGCGATGTCGATGGTGTACTTGTTGTTGGTAAAGCGACTTCATCCTGAAATTTAAAAAAAAAGTTGAAATGGAAGTGTAGATCTAAAGTTTAAAAAAATTAAGGTATTAAGGCGCTAGCACAGCTCCTACTGCCTGCCTGCCTGCCTGCCTGCCTGCAGGTTGACATGGTAACACATAAGAGTAAGAGAGTCAGAAAATTCAAATTAAAAAATGTTTTTTCTCTCTCACTCTTATGGCGCCTGCCTGCGCTGGCAGGAAGGCAGTGAGGTGTGAGTGTACCTTTAGTTTGAAATTTAGTTCTTTGGATTCTGATCTGGACTAAGTTGATGAGAGTCGGTAACTACTTGGTTGATAATGTAGACTTATTAATGTTCCATTACCGACAGTCGGTAACATCTCGATTGATAAAGTAGATTTCTTTCTTTTCATTGATTATTTTTTTGACGCGATTCCTTTCTTTCTTTTCATGGTCGATTCTGTTACTTTCCCACTCCCACCTTCCACTATTCACTCTCACTTCCCACTTCCATTTCTCACTCTCATTTCCCACTCCCGCACTATCCACTTTCACTCCCACCTTCCACTTTCTACTCCCACTTCTCACCATCCACTCTCACTTCCCACTTTCCACTCACACTTCCCACTCCCACCTTCAACTTTTTACTCTCACTTTCCACTTTCCACTCTTACTACCCACTCCCACTTCCTACCTTCCACTCTCACTACCCACTTCCACCTTCCACTTTCCACTCTTACTACCCACTCTAACTTTCCACTCTCACTTCACACTCCCACTATCGACTTTCACTCTCACTTCTATTTCACAATTTTACTTTTAACCTTCAACTTTTCACACCCACTTTTTACTCCTATCTTCCACTTCGACTTCCTACTCCTACCTCCCACATTCTGTAACTTTCCCACTCCCACTTTGACTTTTCACATTCCACTCCCACCTTCCACTTTCATCTCTCACTTACAACATTCCACTTTCACTCCCACTTTGACTTCCCACATTCCACTTTCACTTTTTACTTTTAACACTCACTTTTCACTCTCATTTTACACTTTCACTTTCCACTAATACCTGATTAACAATTTAGAGTGCAAGGTAGAAAGTGAGAGAAGTAAGTGTGAGTGTAAAAAAGGTGTGAAAAACGGAAGATATAGCGTATAAGTGAAAAAAAGATGTAAAAAATAGAAGTTAGGAAGTGAAAGTGTCAGATAATAAGTGAGAGTGGGAAGTGCAAAAATACTCAATGAAGGAAGTAAGAGTAAGAAATGGAAGGTAGGAGTTGAAAGTGGGTGTAAAAAGTGGAAGGTGCAAAGTAAAAGTGGGAAATAGAAGTGAGAGTGAGAAGTGGGAGTGGAAGGTTGGAAGTGAGAGTGGGAAGTAGGAGTGGGTAGTAAGTGTAAAAGGTGGGAAGTGTATGTAGGTAGTGAGAGTGGAAGGTAGGAAGTGGGAGGTGAGAGTGGAAAGTGGGAGTGGAAGGTTAGAAGTGAGAGTAGGAGAGTGAGGGTGGGGAATGGAAGGTGGAAATTGGGAGTGGAAAATGAGAGTAAAAAGTGGAAGGTGGAAAGTGAGGGGGAGTGTGAAGTGAGAGTGGAAGGTTGGAAGTGGGAGTGGGTAGTAAGAGTGGAAAGTGGGTAGTGAGGGTGAAAAGTGCTAGATGGGAAGTAAGAGTGGAAAGTAGGTGTAAAAAGTGGAAGGTGAGAAGTAAAAGTGGGATATAGAAGTGAGAGTGGAAGGTTGGAAATGAGAGTGGGAATTAGAAGTGCGTAGTAAGCGTGGAAGGTGGGAGCAGGTAGTGAGAGTGGAAGGTAGGAAGTGGGAAGTGAGAGTGGAAAGTGAGGGTGGGGAATGGAAGGTGTGAAGTGGGAGTGGAAAGTAAGATTGGTTAGTGAGAGTGAAAAGTGGAAGGTGGAAAGTGAGAGTGGGAAGTGGTAGTGTGAAGTGAGAGTGGAAGGTTGGAAGTGGGTAGTAAGAGTGGAAAGTGGAAGGTGGGTAGTGACAGTGAAAAGTGGACAGTAGGAAGTGACAGTGAAAAGTGCTTGTTGGGAAGTGAGAGTGGAAAGTGAGTGTAAAAAGGGGATGTTTGGAAGTAATAGTGGGATATAGAAGTGAGAGTGAGAAATGGGAGTGGAAGGTTGGAAGTGAGAGTGGGTAGTAAGAGTGGAAGGTGGGAGTAGGTAGTGAGAGTGGAATGTAGGAATTGGGAAGTAAGAGTGGAACGTGGAAGGTGGGAAGTGGGTAGTGAGAGTGGACAGTGAGAGTGGATGGTAGGAATTGGGAAGTGAGAGTGGAAAGTGGAAGGTTGGAAGTGAGAGTGAAAGTGAGAGTGGGAAGTGAGAGTGAAATGTGAAAGGTGGAAAGTGAGAGTGTTAAGTGAGAAGTGGGAGTGTGAAGTGAGAGTGAAAGGTTGGAAGTAAGAGTGGGAAGTGGGAGTAGGTAGTGAGAGTGGAAGGTAGGAATTGGGAAGTGAGAGTGAAAAGTGAAAGGTGGAAAGTGAGAGTGTTAAGTGAGAAGTGGGAGTGTGAAGTGAGAGTGAAAGGTTGGAAGTAAGAGTGAGAAGTGGGAGTGTTAAGTGAGAGTGGAAGGTTGAAAGTAAGAGTAAGAAGTGGGAGTGAGTAGTGAGATTGGAAGGTAGGAATTGGGAAGTGGTAGTGGACGGTTGGAAATGAGAGTGAAAGTGAGAGTGGGAAGTGAGAGTAAAAAGTGGAAGGTGGAAAGTGAGAGTGTTAAGTGAGAAGTGGGAGTGTGAAGTGAGAGTGGGAAGTGGGAGTGGGTAGTAAGAGTGGAAAGTGGAAGGTAGGAAGTGGGTAGTGAGAGTGAAATGTGGAAAGTAGGAAGTGGGAAGTGAGAGTGGAAAGTGAGAGTGGGAAATGAGAGTGAGAAATGAGAGTGGGAAGTGGAAGTGAGAAGTGGGAATGGAGAGTAAGAGTGGAAAGTGGGAAGTGAAAGTGGGAAAGTTACAGAATCGACCCTCAGACTTATAATTTTTACTAAAAGACGTTATGAAAGGGTTTGGTGAACTAAAAAACACACAAAAAGACTGTGGGGAGGAAAAAAAAGTAGCGGCAGCAGGAGAAATGTAAATAAACTTACATCACAAAGATAAGAGAGTAAATCAAAAGATTCCGGCTCGTATGAGGTATACGTTGAAAGTACATTAGGTTCCAGTGGATCCATAATTTTCGCTTGAGTCACTTGTTGAGTTGGTAACTGCACTTTTAAATTTGTATCTTTACTTGCAATTGGTGTCTGTGAAGCAATATCAATATTGACCGTTGTGTCGATTGTTTTCTCAGTTATTAAATTATGCCAAATATCCGATTCTTTGGCTAAAGTGATGTTAGACATTTTTTCAAACTTCACCGCTGATGTGAGATTTGAAAAATCCGCGATATGTAAAATATCATCATCATCATCATTATCATCATCAACATTTGTTTTCTTCTTGTCGCAAACACTTGTCAACTCTTTTGATTCATTATCCACTATTGAGACATCATTCTCATAGTTCATATCTGCAGAAAAAACAATAGTTTTCAAATTAAAATCATAATTTTTTTGAAATAAAAAAATTTTTTTTACCAATGGTTGAAAAAATGATAATTACCGGTCAGTTTGGAATTGATGGCTTCACCTATAGGAAAATCGTATTGTTGGGGAAATTGGTCGATGCACCAACCACTCAGATCTTGAAAGTTCTCCTCCCAAATGGAAAATTTCTGATTGTTCTCCTCCTCCATGTTGAGATAATTGTTTAATTTTAATTTCGGAATTGTCCATGATTCTTTTAGCATCTCCGTTTCCATCGTCGGACTCAAAAGAGGAATCATTTCCGTCTTCGAGGAATCCCGTATGGTTTCCTCGGGAGGCCTCGATCTCACGCCATGAGAAGCAGATGACAGACGTGGTTGACGGTTGCATGATGATAATACCTTATCAAGAAAAAAAGGTACAATTTTATTATATGTTTAATATGTTAATAATTACAATTCTCAATATTTAACGCTTTAGGGTGAAAGGGACCTAAACGCGACAATAACATAAGGCTCACTTTTTGTGCACTGCGCACAAAAGACTGAGTCTAATCTTATTGTCACGTCATTTATTTTATTGATTTTAAAAATTTATTCAAAGAATAAATGTAATTTTGCCCTTTTGTCAATAATTCGCAGAGATTCGAGATTCTGAACATTCCTAAAGAAAATATACTTGTTTATATGAAACTTATGTATTTCCTTTTTTATTTTATGTAATTACTGAATCGAGTCAATTTTAAAGATGAAAGAAAATGAAGTCTGTGGAATAATTTACTCTGGGTATTTAATTTAACCCAAATAGAATTTTTTGACATTTAGACAAACGTAGAGTCTAAACTATTAAATGGATTTGCAAGATACTCTGGAATATTATTAATTGAATTAAAATCTCGATACGTGTTTTTGAAAACTTTAATACATTTCGTATTTTTTGAAATATTTGTATTTTTCTCGAAAAAATTGGTTTTTTTGACATTTAGACAGACGTAGGGCCTAAACTACCAAACAGTTTTGTAAAAATCCCTAAAATATTATTAATGATACAAAAAGTATTTCAATCCTAATTAAAACATCTTTGATGCAAAAAATTCCGCCAAGTAAAATTTTTGCAAATGTCCAAATAATAATTAGTGAAATTAAAGCTTACCAAGTAAAATTTATAACTAATGTTTTAATGTTAAATTGTAACAAAAATAAAATTTAATGATTAACATAAGGTTTCTTACCATTTTCCTTTTTTAAACCAATCGTAAATTTGCCCTAGGGAAATAATGAGTATTTTATTGCCCTAGGGTAATTATGAGTACTTTATTGCCCTAGGGCAATAATGGGTACTTTATTGACCTCTGGGTTATAAGAGGGAACTTAGTATGCGCCTGAGATGTATTTTTTTTTCTTCTTTTCTAAATACTTACGATCAAGTCGCCTCCTTTCTCTATAGAAATGTTGCTAGCCGTTGAGCGCTCGTAAATGGGAGGGATTTTGGCGGCCTGCAAAAAAAAATTATATTTCTATAAAAATCTTTTTCGCATCGAAGCCAAAAAAAAAAAAATTCCATTTATTATAAAAACTAGAAAATTTATTTTCATTCTCCGCTTAGAATGTTGCAATAATATTTCAAAACTTCACCGAAATAGTAATTTAACTTTTGGATTATATAAACACCTGATAAATTTTATACTCTATATGCTTTTTCTAAAGTTATAATGACTTTGGTTATATAATCAAATTCAGACTATCCCTCAATTTGCAAATTATAAAAAATAAGTTAAATTCAAATTATACAAAGAATTTTTATAAAAGTTTTATAACATTTTTTTTTAATTTTTATAAAATTTTAAAAAATACATAATCTAATATTTCAAGAGTAAGTAAAATTAAAAATTTGGTAAATTTTATACGAGTGGAAAATTTTTATTATTCGCGGTAAATGGACATTTTTTTCGCAAAATAATAATATGGAAACTTTTTGTTTCGTTAATAATTATCTGTTATGTGATTGTTCAATGTTTCTTCTTTTACGTAACAATATTTCAATTAAGTTTGTTTTAAATTTCAATTGGCGATCAATTTTCCTCGCGTTCTTTTTTTTTCATTAATTATTGAAGAATTTTTCTGGGAAAATGATTTCGATAAAGATAAGTGTACGAAAATTAATTGTCTGATAAATTTTATTAATCAAATTGATAAATCTTAGGAGAGTACATAAAAGTATTAATTTATAACTGATAAGTAAATATTTTTCACATGTCTCCTATTATCTTTTATCAAAAAAAAATTATATTTATTTTACAATTATTTTTTTTCGATGAAATTTATTTCAATAAAATACGTTTTTTTATATTTTCAAAGGGAATGAAATTGGAAATACTTAAATAATTTAATTTTAACAATAAATAAATTTCGAGTAACTTTACAATTGAGGAATTTTTTTTTCTTTTAATATTTAGTTTGTGAAAAAAAAATTTATATTGAAAAAAATTATTTCAACTAAATGATAATATTCAAAAATCATTCAAAATTAAAATTAAAATTAAAATCATAAAAAAATACTTTTTATTAAAAAATTTTAACAGATTTTAATTAAAAATAATAATTTAAAAAAAAAATTTCTTTCATAATTTAGGATCTAGAGTAAAAAACAAAATTTTTTAATAATGGGAATTTTTGTGTCGAAGATTTTACTAATTTATAAATAAATGACACTTCGTCTCAAATTTTGAAGTCTTTTGGCGTAAATTCAAATGAGAAAGCAGATAAAAGATCTTTTACGTGCCAAATTTTTAATGATGTGATTCAATATAGAGTCTTCATTGCTAAAAGAGAACGTTGACCAACACGCTATTATTGCTTATTCATTCTCGCGGAATATTTTTTCAATACACATATTTAATTATCGCGTTGTTAATTAATCCTCAGAAATATTTTACAATCCACTGTTCAATTTTAAAAAATATATTTTTTATAACTGGTTTTTCAAATTATGAATACCTATTTTTTTCTAATTTCTCAAAATTATATTTTTTGTGCTTTTTAATTTATTTTTCAAATTTTTCTATTTTTCCATTTATAAATATTTATTAAATTATAAATGTTTATTTATTTATAAACATTTTATTTATTTATTAAAATATAAAGATTCATTTATAAAATTATAAATATTTATTTATAGATATGCATTAAATATTAAATTAGTTATAAACATTATAATATTTATTAATATAATTCATTTTACCACAATTCTTGTTTTTCATTTTCATTTATCAAATTTTATTAGGTACTTTTATCTAACCATACTGAAAATAAATCAATTCATAGGTAAAAAATTTTTATAATCTTCTTTTCAAATTTTATTAATTTAAAATGTTTGTAAATGTAAAAGTTTTAAAATTTTATGACTAATATTTAATCTCTATTTGTTCAGAATTAATTTTAAAAACGAAGACCCTTATGTTTAACTTTAATGACTCATGATGTAAAAATTCAAAAACTGAACATGTACGAAAAAAATTAAGTTTTCAAATTTTCAAAAACTAAAAAAACTTATTTTTCGCATAAAATTTACAATATAAATTAGTTGAAAATTTATTGTCGAATTTCACAATTATTATGGATTCTTCAAGAATGTTTTAAACTCGAAATTTAATTTTCTTTAATTTTGCGAAAATTTTGCAAAAAACAAAACTATTTTTTGTGCATATTTTTCAGTTTTCAAAATTTGTCGAATTTAACCGATTTTCAAGTAAAAATTTAAAGAAAATAAAAATATTCTACTTATATTATGGTGCAGTAAAAAATATTTAGTTCGCAAAAAAATGAAAATCATAAAAATTAGATATTAAAAAAATGTTTTTTTCCTAAGTAATGTTTCTTGCAATTGGATAACACATTTTCTCTAGTCATTTGTCATTTTTTCCACAATGTTATCGTTGTAAATTTTTTTTATTATCAATTTTTAATGCCAGTGTATGAAACGTCGAGAGCTATCAGACGTTACGTAACGTTCATTTTGCTATTATATTTCATTGGTATTTGCGTCATAGTTATGTCTCTTTGACAATAACAAAATGGTTTAAAAATCCACCCCCTTAAGCCAAAAAAAGTAAAATAATTTTCAAAAATATTTTTCGTACCCAAAAAAAAGGTTTACATTTGCCAAAAAAATCGAATTTGATTGCCAACATATGAAGAACTACATTAATCAAAGCTTTTTTTTTGCAAAATAAAGTAAGAAGCCTAAAATTTTGCAAATTGAAAGAAAAAGAAAAATTTTTCAGCGAATTATTATATAACGAAATTTCTAAATAGAAAGAATACTCACCCTCCCGAAACTGATAGATTTTTCTACTGTGTCTTCCACTTGATGATGAAATTTACTAGTTTTCAATCGCACTTTTCTGTGATGCAAAATTGATTTTCACTTTTTTTTTGTATTAGTAGCAAGGAAAGAAGCAAAATTATTACACTTTTTTTTAAAAACAAATTAGCGGCGTCGTGTTTTAAGAATAAAACATAAAAATTGTTTCTCAAGTGAATTTAGTCACAACGTGTACACGACGGATTCCGCTGAACTTGTGCTACTTTAACCACGTCACGAGACGACAATATCGCAACGCAATAGTATGTATAGGAGGGCTTTCTACAGAATGACGTCAATTTTCACCAATCATGCCAAGTCTGTGCTCATTTTTCACCAATCAGCTCACATTTCAAATAGAATGGTGGGTATTTCCAAGAAACTCGTCATCACCACTTTATGTACACATACACATTTGTATAACGATCGATATACTCTGTAATCATGGTTTAAAATATAGAGCCGGAGCCGGTTTACACCGGAGAAGTATTAAATTCACATTTAAGAAAAATTATCCTTAAAGATATTTTTTCTCTTTTTTAAATTTTTTAAACGTGAGACTGCAGATTGAAATATGTTCTTTAGTTTTGGAAATGAACAATTTTAGGGGAGTGTGTCTAGGTATAAGACGGGTTTTGTTTTTGACACATAAATTGTAAATGGGTAAACGAAATATAAATATAAATAAATATAAATATAAATATACTAATAGCATTTAATATTATATACTAAATAATAATATTTATTTGACGAAATATGACACAATTTAATAGCTTCAAAAGAGCTTTAAAATTGATTTCATCTGAATCGGTTGACTTTCTTCCACTTGACATGCACAAAAATACTTACTTTCTTAAAATGCGCTTCTAAAAACGCAATACCCTGCGAGTTAGTTTTTTGTCAAAAACATTTTTTTACACAATTTTTAGTGATTAAAAGATGTCAGTCAGATGTCCTAAATTTTATGAAATTATTTTACACCCTTGATAGAATTTATTGCGTCTAAATTTATATTACTACGTTCATGAATATTATATGCTGTATTAAATTTTTTTGAAGAAATAAAAAAATTAATTTAAATTCTCCCGGAATTTCTCACGAAAAAATTCTCAATCATCAGCAAGTCAATTCACTAAATGCGTAGCTGAAACCTACTATATCGATCCAGTTTCAAATATTCAAGGAGTACCGGTATCTATACCTAGACGTCACCCTCTGTTCTTTTTAAATAAGAAAACTACCCTTAAATGCTGATGATAAAGATTGATGAAAAAAAAATTTTCATCTTCTGCGGATTTGCGGCTGTGGTTACTTTTTCTGAATTGTGAATTAAATTAATTTTTATGACTCAAATATTAATAAGCATTATTCAAGGAGAAGTTTAGGACCAGCAAAAAATTTGTAGACTAAGAATGCTTAGTAACCTGATGATAAAGATTGATGAAAAAATAATTTTTTATCTTCTGCTTATTATCGGCTGTGGTTACTTTTTATGAATTGTGAATTAAATTAGTTTTCATGACTTAGATATTAATGAGCATTATTTAAGGAGTAGTTTTGGACCTACAAAAAATTAGTTGACTAAAAATTGTTAGTAAACTGGTGATAAAAATTAATGAAAAAATAATTTTTTATCTTCTGCTAATTTGCGGCTGTGGTTACTTTTTCTGAACTGTGAATTAAATTAAGTTTTACGACCCAGATACTAATTGGCATTATTCAAGAAGTAGTTTAGGACCAGCAAAAAATTTGTAGACTAAGAATTGTTAGTAAGCTGATGATAAAGATTGACGAAAAAAAATTTTTTATCTTCTGCGGATTTGCGGCTGTGGTTACTTTTTCTGAATTGGGAATTAAATTAATTTTGATGACTCAGATAATTATTGGCATTGTTTTAGGAGTAGTTTAGGACCTGCAAAAAATTTAAAGACTAAGAATTGATAGTATACAGAAGATAAAGATCGCTCAAAAAAGAATTTTTCATCTTCTGCTGATTATCGGCTGTGGTTACTTTTTGTGAATTGTGAAATAATTAATTTTTATGACTCAAATATTAATAAGCATTATTCAAGGAGTAGTTTAGGACCAGCAAAAAATTTGTAGACTAAGAATGCTTAGTAACCTAATGATAAAGATTTATGAAAAAATAATTTTTCATCTTCTGCTGATTATCGGCTGTGGTTACTTTTCATGAATTGAGAATTAAATTAATGTTGATGATCCAGATATTAATTGGCATTATTCAAGGAGTAGTTTAGGACCAGCAAAAAAATTTGTAGTCTAAGAATAGTTTTTAAACCGAAGATAAAGATCGCTCAAAACAGCGACGGATCAAGGCCTTAGCGGGCCTGAAGCACATACAAATTTTGGGGCCCCCTTTATAATTTTTTACATAAAAGGATTATGTTCCAAACTATTTATATAAATTTTTTATATTCTTTAATTCCCTACATTATGTTATAAGTATCAAGAAAAAAATGTTTTCAATCAAGAATGAAGGAACCAAAAAAATAATGTTTTGTATTTTTTATTAAATTAATATAATTTCTATAACTTATTAGTTAAAGCTATTAATTTTAATAGTATTAAAGAGTATAAACAAACTATATACTGAGAAACGAAACAGTTGCAACAATCGATTATATTTAAACAGCTCTGTATTTAAATGTACACTTTTCTGGCTTTTTTCGAGGCAAAATCTTTTATGATATCATCATAATTTATGTCATCTAAACTTTCGCGTTCAATGTGCATTACAGAAAGAGCATCCAGTCTATTTTGACCCATTCTAGACCTCAAATATGTTTTTACTCGTTTCAAGGCAGAAAATGATCTTTCTGCAGATGCATTTGATAATGGAATTGTTAAAAAAATTTCAATAAGTGTAACAATGTTTGGAAATGTACTCCTAATGTTTTGCGCAAGATCTAATTTTTTAAAAATTTCATGGACTTTTGTATTTTCACATAAGACTTTAAAATGCTTAAATTCTTGGTCTAAGTGATCCGGTTCAATATCATCATGATACGTTTCGCGTATTTTTGATAAAGATTCTTCAATCTCTTCTTCTTTATTTGTAAAAAAGCAATTGAAGCATTTTATTACTTCAGAATATGATGACAATCGACGTCTCAATTCAGCAGTCAATCCATCACACATCACATAAAAAACATTAATTTTGAAATTTTCCCTTCCAGTCAACAAAGTTTCATTTTGTCTAATTTCATCAAAGAAGGCCTTTCTTTTCCTAGTTCTCTTTTTTTCATTTTGATATTGAACTTCCTCAATATCCAATAATATTTTGGTTTCATTTTCGATTTTATCAAAGGTACTTCTCATTTCTTCTATAAAAAGTAGTAATGATTCTAAAAGCTGTACGCCGTACGTTAAATTTAAATTTGGATTTTCCAGAGCTTTGCTTGTCGCATTAATCCGTTCAAGCAATTTGTCCCATACAATTGTTAGAAAGAAAGTTTCAAATATTTCCATATTTTTAAATAAACCTAAAGCTTCGCTGCGAGCAAGTGTTTTTTCATTCAAGTCACTTGAAAAATTAAATAAAACATCTTGAATCAAACCATATTCTTTCTTCAAAACACTCACTGCATCGTGTCTGGCAGACCATCGCGTGTTACTTAATTGTTTAGGGACTGTCTTACAATTTTCTTTTAATATATTCCATCTATGAGTTGACGCTGAAAAAAATGTAAATATTTTTTGAACAAAATCAAAGTAAATCACGACTTGCAAACATGATTCACAAGCAAAATTTAGCACCAAATTAAGTGAGTGGTTTGTACATGGTACATAAAAAGCTGTAGGACTTAAATTTTTAATCCTTGCTTGCAAACCATGATATTTGCCTGACATATTTGCAGCGTTATCGTAACTTTGACCTCGACAATTTGCAATATCTAGATCTAGTTCCTTTAACTTTTTTAATACAACTTCTTGCAAATTTTCAGCACTGTGACTTTCAATTTTAAGGAAACCCATAAATCTTTCTTTTATTTCGTTTTTGTGAATGTATCTTATTACAAAAGTCAGTTGATCGCAGTGACTAATATCAGGTGTGGAATCTACTATAATCGAAAAATACTTGGCTGATTTAATCTCGTCAACAAAAGTGTTAATCAATTTATCTCTCAACAGTAGTATAAACTCATCACATATTTGATGTGATAAATAGCTTGTACAACCTTTTCCTTGATTTCCATATCTACGAAGATGTTCCTCTAAAAACTCATCAAATTCAGATAGATATGTAAGACAACTTAAATAATTGCCTTTATGTTGACTCTTTAAATTTTCATCAGATCCTCGGAAAGCTAAGCCTTGTTTAGAGAGAAACTTAATAGTAGCAAGTACGCGCAAAAGAAATTTACTCCAATATTTTTCTTCGACACTAATTTGTTGTTGCAGTTTAGTGTCTAATACTCCAAATTCAGAAGACCTGGTTATTAACGTTACAGTCGCAGCCAAATGAGACTTACTTTCCTCATGATTTTTAAGAGTTCTGGAAATATTTCTCCAATCATTAAAACCACAACTACTAGTAAGAGAGCAGGTTACGTCTGTAGAAAACAATTTACACGGATAACAGTATAAAGATTTTGTACTTGAGTCGTAAATAAGCCATTCTCTTTTTTCTTTTCCGCCATTGGATTTTAATCGATAAAAATCAGAAGTTTTTAATGCTCTAGTATAAGTGCGATTAGCATCTTGATATGTTTGTTCTAAGTCTTTAACATCAATGGAGTCGCTATTTGGTTTATTCTTAATCACAAGATTTAAAAATTCCTTATTTTTAATAATTGTTGCACTCCACTCAGAAATTTTAGGAATTTCGTCTACAAGTTTATTCTCAACACTAGTTTCATTTTGGTTTTTTATTTCATTTTCTTTGTCGTCCTCATTATGATGTTCTGTCAAATTAATATCAAGACTGTCAGAAATTAGAAGACCATCAGTTTTATTACTACAATTTTGCAAACAAGAATCAGACTGATCACTGTTTGTTTTAAAAGTGGAATCGATTTCGGTTTTCTTATTTAAATCCAATGTAACATCTTCATCAGTTTTGGAGTTAAAGAAGTTTGTTATTTTAGGTAGTTTGTTTACTGATTCTTCTTGAATTTTTCTTTTTTTCCGTTTTTCCGAACCTGATGCATGTTTATAATTCATCTTTCATATAATGGCTAAAATTAAAAAACATTTACGAAATAACTTTAAACTACTTAAGACTTCATTTATATTCTATATTAATAGGTGATTCTCCAAATAGATTTATTTTTGTTAAATAGAATAAAAAAAATAAAATTTAAATTCTTAATGCCCTAAAGCATTAAATTATATTAAGGTCTTTAATATTAAACATTTCTGTACCTTAATCATGAAGTATTATAACTATTAAAAAAATTTTAAAGTTAAAAAAACAAGAGGTTAAAATTTATTGCAGGTACTTTTTTCAACATATTAAGAAATTCTATATCATTCAATTTTTAAAATTAAGTTTAAGAAAATAAGTTTTTTTGATCGACAAAAATGAACTTTTTGAGAAGAAAATTTATTAAAAATGATTTCAAATTAATTTTTTAATTTAAATTTCACTGACAAAATTTCTAGATTTATTTTTTACTAACACAATGGAAACAATTGATAGTTTATTTAATAATTTTAACCTGAAACAATACACTATGAAAAAGTCAGAGAAATGACGATTTTTCTTATTTTATTTAATAGGAACCAAAGGACAAAATTAAATTTCCTTTTGTAAAAAACGTAAAAGTCCCATTTTTTTAATATTGTGTAGAAATGTTTTACAACCTTATATATTTCAGAAAATATTGATTTTGCACTGGCTTTTAAGTTATAATTACTTTTTTTAAGTGTTGAGGGAATGAAAAGTAGTCATGAGACATACGAATTAACCTAGCTTTTTGAGTTAAAATTTATGAGAAAGTACATTAAATAATAAAAATATACATTTGTTTCTTGTGGGATTTTTATAAAAAATAGTAAACTAATGGAATATGCATTGACAATTTGATTAATTATTATAAATATTGAGAAAAACGCGAGGACATGCAAAATAAATATATTTGGAGAATCACCCATTAATTAATAATTACTCACGTTGAAATTTTATAACTGATGCAGACAGATGTAATGCAAATAACAAATGACGAAAGAGACAACAGCCAAATCAGTTATAGGGAAAAACGCATTGTTTTATTCCATCAATAACTATGTCTACGTAACTTGTTAATAATTATTTGTTTACTTTTTGATTTAACCTTACTTCGGGGATCGGGGGATGTACTATACCATAAGTTATTGTAGTGAGAACTCGCCGTGAACCTTAAGCTTCGATCACATGCATGTTCTGCACCAGGGTTGTGTAGTCACGATTGTTACAAAATCCCACACTTCACATCGTACAGTGGTTAGTCAGAAATAGAGTATCGTCATTCTTGAGAGAAATATAATATGCCCAACATTTAAAGCATGGGATAGAAAAGGATGCAAGTAAAAAAAATTATTAATATTTTTTTAAAATTTTGTTCTCAGCAGCGGGCCCCATGGGGGTACGGGCCCTGAAGCACGTGCTTCATGTGCTTCATGGTTGTTCCGTCTCTGGCTCAAAAACTAATTTTTCATCTTCTGCTGATTATCGGTTGTGGTTGCTTTTTATGAATTGTGAATTAAATTAATTTTGATGACTTAGATATTAATTGGCATTGTTCTAGGAATAGCTTAGGACCTGCAAAAAATTTTTAGACTAAGAATTGTTAGTAAACTGATGATAAAGATTGATGAAAATATAATTTTTCATCTTCTGCTGATTATCGGCTGTGGTTACATTTTATGAATTGTGAATTAAATTAATTTTGATGACTCAGATAATTATTGGTATTATTCTAGTAATAGTTTAGGACCAGTAAACAATTTTTACATTCCCATCATACGAGAAGGTACCAGTTCTGATTATTATTATACATTCCTCAGAAAAATGTATGCTTTAATGGGTTAAATGTATATTATCAAATTTAGGATCTAAATAAATAACAATTTTTTTTTTAATTTTCAACTTAGTTGAAAATGCTTTATTTTAAGAAACAATAAAGCGTTTATACAATTTTCGTTATCTTATAACATTTAACGCAATAAGTTTCATAATTAATATTTTCTCGATATGAAAATTCGACATGAAACATTGAGCACGATACAAAAAAAAAAATTTTTCTTACAATATCGCATATTAATAAATGTATATATAATATATATAAAAAATTAATATTTATTAGAAAATGATTTAATAATTATTAATAATAATAATAATAAAAAATAGTTTATCTACAAGAGTAGCCTGAAAATCTCAGTGACTTTGCCTTTAATGTATATATAATATCAAAGCGAAACACACTCTCTCTTTCTCTCTCTCTCTTTCTCTCTCCTGAAAACTACACGAATTTAAATCTTTGGCAGTGAAATTTAAAAATTCTCTTTTTTTAATATTATTTTCACGCGCGAAATTTGGAGAAAAAAAATAAGAAACATTCGTATAATTTTCTTTTTTTTAAATATTCGAATTTTATTTTACAGTTAATGGAAATATGTTTAAAACTTTAGAATGGAAGTAGAAATGCCTAGATTTTTAGACCTTTTGTGATTGGTTACCCTGGGAGTTTAAAGAGCGAAGATTGGTCGTCATTTCATGACCTTGAATAGTAACCAATTAGAAAAGGGAAGGCGTGTCTATTTAAACTAGAACATGTGCGTAGAGACGCTTCTTAAAATTCGAATTCTTTTTCATTACAAATGGAAGACTATTATTTATTTAATTAGAAAAAAAAGTGACAGTCGTCAGTCACGAAACAACGCACTGGGAAGTTCTACTCGTATTCTCCCGAACATTCGTCTTTTAATGGTAAAATACGCTTACACGAATTTTACTCCACGTCAATAATTATTATACAAAAACAGATACATATTTATAGTAACAAGTTTAAAAAAAAAAATTCGCTTAATTAATTAATATAACATATACATATGTATGTCACGTTCGCACCGTTAGTCAAATGAAAAGAAAACTAAATTTCAATGATTTAGAAAAATTAATGAACGGAGATATTCGGCTATATTATTAAATACAAAAGTTACAAATACTATAATCGTCTATAAAAACTTTTCATTCATTCCTCTCATATTCGCACAAATTTACACACATACACGCAATTCAGTCCCTTTTTTAATTATCAAGATCCACACGATATATTTTCACCGCTGTTCATCGATTACAATAAATTTGATTGTGTTTACAGATAAATAGATTGAACCAACCTAGAAGAATTTTGTTTGCTTTCTATTAATATTATATAATATAACCATAGTTATAGAAGAATAAACAAAAGTTTCCCTCTGAGTGATCCTTACAATTTTAAAAATTTCTTTGTCCGTGTTTCAAGACGGTTTCTGAAAGTACCCATAGCAATAGCGTCGCCAATCAGTATGTATTTTGTGATCCAACAAACTAGGTCCAAATTATGAAACACTATTCTCACTTGCAGTGAATTCTAGAGACGACGCCAAAATTATAATCACAATTCAAATTTTTTGTAATCACGAACGATTGTCTACAATTTGTATTTCTAGATGATGTCTATATCATTTATTTATATCGTTAAGTAGCGCACTTCTATCTATTTAGTTCGCTACTGGTAACAGCGGTGGATAAATTTGCAAAAAAAAAATCTATAACGGATTCTAGACATTATGTTATTATGACATTTTCATTTGGAGGCAAAAAAAAACATCTTCGGCGAGTGTTTGTAAATCCTTTCTTTAGGACCAATTTCTTTGGAAGAAATTTTCTTGAAATTCCGTTTGAATAAAAACTGTTGCACACCCGAATTAACACTGTAAATTGTTGCAACCTAATGTCAGAAATATAAATAACAATTACTGGTTGAGAAACAACAGTTGATGTTTGATGTATCCTATTGGAGTGGATTTTTTTTAGTCCTCGTCTTTCGCGACTGTTTGACATCATTGTCCTTCACTGTCACTGTCGCTTTTGTCTGCAATAAGAAAATTTTTTTCACTTTAATAATTAAGGCGGCGTGGCAACTTTAAAGATTTTAATCTTTTTTCCAGGGTTAAGCTAACGTTTGTAGGTAAAAGCCACAAGATTAGACTAACGCTAATAGTGGAGTTATGGATATGTTGGGACGTGGTCCACTGCCAAACATCATGGATATGTTAGGTAGACCTTGTAAGTAAATTAAAACAAACCTTTTTTGCCAGGATACGCGTGTCGCTTCAGTCTGTCATAGAGATCTTCTTTTGTTCCATAAATACTAGCATTTGATCGCGCTAAACTATTCATTTTACCTCCATTATGTAGACTCTCTGGAAAAAAGTTAACAGTGTTATTAGTTAAATTACCACTTTCGTCATTGGATAAAATTTAAAATAGAATTACTGTTATTGATGTGGGGTCTAAGTACCTTTCATGTACGTCTCATTGTAGAAATTTGGCATCTCCCATCCATCTTCCTCGTCATCGTAATAATGAGCGTAGGTACTGTGATGAGATGGAGCAATCGATTCAGCATAAGGCGTTGGCGCTCCATAATAGAAGTTCACCTGTGAACCATTCTGATCAGCCGCTGGTGTTAGCATCTTCTTTGGTTCCTTCTTCTTCGAAGCCCTGATATGAAATTAAGTGGCAATAGTTAGAAAGCAATAATAAGACTTAAAACTGTTACTACTGTCAGAAACTAACAATAGTGTCAGAAAATTAGCAATGTGGGGAAAGAAGAAAAATTTATGATATTAACCTGACGCAGATCATCCAGACCAGAAGGGCAATGAATATGACGAGAATAACTCCCGCTGCAATTCCTCCAGTGATGTAAAAGAAGTCGGATTTTTCACTACATTGTTTGCCGGTGAAACTGCCGCTGCATCTGCAAGAAGGTTGTCCTCTGGAGTCCTTAAAGCAAACACCTTCATTGTCACAATAACCAAGGCAGACGTCGGTACACTCGTGTCCAGTTCCATTGTATCCAGGTTTACATTCGCATTTGAAGTCGCTTGTTTCGGATATCAGCAAACAATAGGCATTCGCGTCACAGTGGAATTCCTCACCACTAGTCTCACATGGATTCGTGCAATCATCTTTACTAGTCTGTAAAGAAAATTAAATTTTTGTTGAAACTTGATTGTAACCGGGATTCTACTATTATTTACATTCTCCCTTGAAATAGGCTAAAGGCAATTGTACCAGAAAATAAAAATATCGGGAATCATCAAATAACAAAAAATATGTTCCTTACCGCTGCTGCTCCTTTGGTACTAGTGTTAGGAGGACAAGGAATGCAGAAAGTCTGTTGCGATTCGGATTGATAAGTTCCCTTCTTGCATTCGACACATTCATTGAGAGTTCCATTCAAATGTGTACCAGGTTCACAAACAGGAAGTGAGCACTCCTCAATAGCGGCTGATCCAATATTTGGCGTTGTTCTACCCAAAGGACACGCCTGACAAGAGGCTTGAACTCCCTGCATTCGATAGGTACCACGAGGACATGGTTCGCATTTTCCTTCAACAGCAAGTTGTTGTCCCGATCCACATTCATCACGACATTCCTCGTGGGAAACTGCTTCGGCAGTTCTTGTTGTTTTTCCAAGTCCACACAATGAGCATGAGAAACTTCCCTCATTCGGTTGATAGAAACCGTGTCCACAACTTCGACAAAGTCCAGCTTCATCGTCATAGTATTTTCCAGCTGGACAACGTTCCTTGCAATCAGCAGCACTTCTTGCACCAGGACCAATTGTAACACTAGGACGTCCCGCTATCACTGGACATGAACTGCATTTCAATTGTCCCGATTCACTTTGATAGGTGCCGACTGGACAGAAGTCACATTTGTTCGTTGCTTCGTTGTAAAAAGTACCCACGGCACATGGAACTGAAAAATAAATTGCATTCTGAATATTCTTATTCCTAAATGAGACCAAAGTAGACGATTTCTGGTAACTTACCACATTCCGGTGCCATAACAACTTGACCAACCGGACATGCGTAATCTGATTCAAGAATCAAAGAAGCCGGATCGGGAATTGTGTTTGGTAAAATATCGTGAACGTCGAATTGATCTTCTTCCAAAATAAGTTTCTGGAGTAATGTGTGTACGGATGCTCGTTCATTAGAATTGGCGTTTAGAATCGGATCACTGAAAATAGAGAGACGGGGGTTAGACTTCTGTGAGGGGATTATTTTGCTGATGCTCATAGCGCCAATATATACAGCCGTTATCTGCTTTTGATAAAATGATTAAATTAGATGACCCACTCTCCAAATGTTCACCAGACTGAGAAGCGTGATGTCTGTGTTTGTATATGATTCGTATCAAAATCATTAATTATTCGTTAACTAATCATTATTTTAGTTAACCATAAATTTTACAAAATCATTTTATAATGTTATTTAGTTAGTAGTACGTGCAATGTTGATTCTCTTGTTTAAATGTACAAGTCTCCAATTATGTGTATATTAGCAATGATCTAGTGACTGAAATATTCGTTAAAGACCACATGAATCAATTTCGCGATAAATTCTTACTTTATCGCTGGGAATGATATCTGCACCTCGTAGGTATCACTGCCTTGGCGCGATCTTCTTGTTCTACGAGTTAACAATAAGTAAATTCGAATTGCTCCATTAGAAAATCTATTCCTAATTTAGATTTTTCTAGCTAATAGACAAATTTATAAAAAGTAAGTTTATAAATTTCAAATAAATACTTACGCTTCAACTGGAGCAGTCACCGATACTGTGTAGGTTCCTCCATCCTCTTCATTGGTATCTCTTGTTGAACGTGATCGATGATCGCACTGAACGTCGATGTTCAAATCCTTACATTCCCTAGTGCCTAAATTACAAGTAAGTGCAATTAAGTATTAATTAAAATGAAACTTAAAACTAAACTAAAAAACAATTTTTTGATTACAGATATTTTTTACTAATAGGACCATTACCTTCGAAGGAGAAGGAACAGAAGTTCCAGTCCCTGTTTAGTGAATTGACAGCATTTCGAACCTTCTGCTTGAGAACACCTTGACCCGCTTCATTGCAAAGGACAGAAGTGGGGAAGTTCATTTTGATCTTGAAAACACGTTGAGCCGGTATTGAATCTAAGAAAAAAAGGAATTGTTCAAACTCCTCTTTGAAAACTCCCAGTATAAAAAAATAGCTTATCGAATATTTTCCTTACTTGTACAAGCGGGATAAACGAGTGGTAGTCCAGGATTGATGGTCGGTCTCCAGAAACCTTCCGCTCCACATGTGTAAAATTTGGGAATTTCCTGTGAAAATCTAAGTCCAGCGTTACAAGAAATTTCGCAGACCTTAAATTGACCACCGGAACCCCAATCCTTGCACTGTTGAGCTCCGCCAATTGGATCCTCTAATTCCGGACAGAAGTCAGCTGAAGCGAAAAAACTCCATTAGCTTTTATCCCTTTTAGAACGGAATTAAAAGAAATATTTTAAGAGAGCTACTTACAGAGGACGTAAACTTTGAAACTGCAACTGGCAGAGTTTCCAGCTTGATCATAAGCGACATAGCTGATATCATAAGTTCCCCAAAGTAGAGTTTGTCCGGATCGATGACCACTCTTTTCGATCATTCTCACTACTCCAACATTGTCGGAGAATTGTGGTTCGTCCCAGTTGACGATTGATGAACCGTTCTTGGCAATAACCCAAAGATCTCCTGGGCAATGTTCAACCTTTGGAGGAATCTTATCAGCCTCTAATTGCTGACACTTGTTACCGCCATATCCAGGTGGACAGACTCTATGACCGCAATGTGATGGAACAACTCTCTCAACACCTCCAATCGTTTCATCATAACCAGCCCAGGTGAGAATTAAATCTTGATAAAGTACCGGTTCAGTGCGACAGTCACGAACTTGCTTTTGAATTTCGTTGGTGACATGAAGAGCTCGGCTCCAAACTTGTACTTTTGTTAAGTGTCCCTGGAAGCCAGATTCAGTGTAGCCTTTAACGTTTTCACTTTGTGGTTTGCCTAGGACTGCCCAGGCGTAAGAGGGTAGATTTCTTCCACTTCCATAACCTTCGGTTTTGCTGGCTATCAATCCTTCTGTGATGAGTGTTAGTTCACCGCTGTTGTCACCGTTCCAAACGACTGCTACATGATGCCATTGACCGTCGTTCATTGTCGCGTATTCCCTGAAGGGTAAATAGACGTCTTGCAGATCTGGGAAAATGGAGATTTGCACCCCATTACTATGGGCTTGAATCATTGGTCTACGATTTATCGGTACGTGTGGAGAACTGACACTGTAGAGCGTAAAGAAGATTCCAGCTTCGTCCTTCTGGGTGAATTGAACCCAGAGAGCAATTGTCAGACTCTTTTTTCCGCCGGTAAAGAATGGAATTACTTGAGCAGCACTACTACGGGTTGGATCACTAAAGTACATATCATAATCGACTTGAATTGATTTTCTGCAATCGTCACCAGTCAAATTGAATGGGCACTGACAGAAGAATTTTCCAGTGAGATCGACACAGGTAGCTGATGGTGGGCAAGAATTTTCCTTACAATCGATGATATCCTCTTCGCATGTTTTGCCAGTGTATCCAGGTGGACAAATACAGGTGAATCCGATTCCATCGTCAGTGCAAGAAGCTCCATTTTTACAGGCACCGGCTTGACAAGCGTCATATTCGTATTGGCAACCAATGCCAGTGAAATCATCCGGACAGGTGCAATTTAAGCCAGATCCAAAGTCTTGACAACGACCATTGTGCATACATGGATTTCCGATACAACGTTCAGGAGCCGTTTCACATTGTTTACCGTCCGTTCCCGATGGACATACACAGAAGTAATCTTGGAATAGATCAACGCAAGCGGCATCATTCTGGCATGGATGATTCTGACAAGTGCCAACATCAATTTCGCAACGTTCACCAGTCCATCCTTCAGTACACATACACTTAAAGCCTCCGACTTCATCCCTGCAAGTCGCTCCATTAAGGCAAGGATCTGCGGCGCAATCGTCGATATTCACCTCACATGATGCGCCAGTAAATCCTTCTCTACACTGACAGACGAACTTATTATCCAAATCAACACATCTTTCCGTACCCACAGGATTGCAAGGATCGCTCAAACATTCATCGATTTCAGCTTCACACTGTAAGCCGACAAATCCAGGTCGACATTTACAGACGAAACCGTCTAATTGATCGATACAGGTGCCTCCGTTTTGGCAAGGTTTCACAGCGCAGTCATCAACAGTATGTTGACATTGTTTACCAGTATATCCTGGCTCACAAGTACAGCTGTATCCATTCACTTGATCAGTACACTGTCCTCCATTCTTACAAGGTTTGGCTAAACATTCATTGATATTTGTCTCACATGCTGCTCCACTCCAACCTGGATGACATATGCACTCGTGGCTAAACAGCTTGTCAACACAAATTCCATTAAGACAGGGATTTCCCGAGCAGAGATCTATTTTCTCATGACAACGTTTACCAGTGAAACCTGGAGGACAATCGCAGGTGAAGTCAGCAATCAAATCGGTGCAATTGGCACCAAGTAGACAAGGTTTCTCTGCACAATCATCAGTATTTATTTCACAACTCTGACCCTCCCAACCCGGCAGGCAATCGCATTTGTAACGACCTTGTTGGAGAGCGATACAAGAGGCTCCATTGTTGCATGGATTTCCGCTAGCAGTGCAAGGGTTGATCTAAAAACATAATCGTCATTTAATTGATAATCTAGGTTAAAAAAAATTGTTTCCCTGTCGGTAATTTATCGACAGACGGTAATAATGTTAAAAAGTAAACTTACGGTAATGTCGCAGTCGACTCCAGTATATCCGGATCTACAGAGACAAGTGTAATTGTTAAAGCCCGGCTCGTCTTTGCACATGGCTCGTTCTGGACAAGTATCATTAGAACAATCGGACTTTTCTTCTTGGCAATTGATTCCGGAGTATCCATTCGCACACTGACATCTGTAACCTTGTGGTAAATCGATGCAAGTTGCTCCATTGTAACAAGGTTGAGAGGCGCATTCATCGATGTCAATTTCACATCGTCGTCCTGAGAATCCAGCTGGACAGATGCATTGAATTCCATGTCCCACTGGCATGCAGAGACCTCCATGTTGACAAACACTGTCAGTACAAGTGACGGGTTTACACTCTTCACGTCCAACACTTCCAGGTCCGTCGGTGTACATATTGGTTGGACATTCGTTGCAAGTGGTTGCTCCATGTTGCGGTTGGTAAAAGTCTTTGGGACATTGAGCACAAGGCGCTAAACCAGTATCCGAATACATTCCTGGTGCGCATTTAGAGCGACAGCGATCTTTTCCAGGTGCTGCTGGTTGATATGTGAAAGTTCCGGCTGGACATGTCTTGCAGTCCTTGAAACCTCCGATTGGTGGTTCACCAGTGTAGCTATTTCTAGGACACTCCAAACAGGGTACAAGACCAGTTGGGGAATAAGTTCCGTAGCCGCAAACAGGAATACAGTCGTCAATACTCTTGGAACCTTCCTCCTTGGTATAGGTGCCAAATGGACAACGTAAACAATTTCCTTGACGATCGCTGTTCTGATAGTAACCCTTAGGACAATTGGTGCACATTTTTTGTTTCTCTCCGGCAAATGTTCCGGCTGGGCAGTGGAGACAACGTGGTACGTCATTCGTGTCCATGTTCAACACTTCGCCAATGCTGCAAGTAAAACCTCTGGATATCGATGACTTAAGAGCTCGTAATGGAGGACACTGGTTTCCAATCGAAGAAACGTTCAACAAGGGTTCGATAACAGCACTGGCGTAAGGAACCGAAAGATCGAAAATTAGATTCAATGTCGATCCGCAAAGATCGTAGAGTTGTGGTTGACGAATTGCGGGCACAATAGCAAGAATGAAATCCATCTTGAGGACGTTTTCTTCCAAAAGGGTTGGCATTGATCGAAGGAAGGAGACATTCATGTTAACATTAACGGCCGAGCAACGTTGAGTTAGAATATTGTTCAGATTCAGGTAGTACTGAGCCATCAAATCCTGATATTGTGGAAGACATGGTCGAGAGACGGCACCATTGGCTCGATAAGTAACAGAAGCAACCACATGGTAATCAGCCTTTTGCGTATTTTCGGAAACACAATCAGGAACAACGGAAGTTGGTACCCAGTGTCTTGCAGTGTCACAAGTGAACGTTTTCACCGGTGATCCGTCAGTGAATCTATAACCCGATTTACAAGTGGCTATACATTGAAGTCCTTTGTCACTCGGTAGACACTTAAGACCACCATTTGCTGGTAATTTCAATTCCCAATCAACACAAGGTGTTGCTTGCACCGAAACCTGGAAGTGACAGAAGGCTCGATTTCCACTAGAATCCGTGGCGTAGACCGTGACATTCTCGAAACTGCCAATTGGAATTACTGCACGTTCCGGAACGAATGTAATTTTAACCGGACCTGATGCATCAGTAGCGTTAATTCGTCTTCTAGTTTCATTGAAATTAACATTATAGCTTTCTTGCTTGTCGACTAATTCAATTACATAACTTTGTGGGCAGCTTAATTTCGGAGGTGTCACATCAGGAACGGTGATGTTAATTTCACAAATAGCGACATTACCGTCATAATCAAATGCAACGTACTTAACGACAGTGTCCTCAAATACTCTAATTGGTGTCTTGAAACTCTGTGGTTTGACTTCTAGTCGAGCGATACTGCCACTGTTGTCAATAGCCGTGGGTTCGGTGAAATTGACTGGCAATAAACCGCCATCAGGTCCTTTTTGTACCATAATTGGTTGTTGAGGACAATTTTGGAATACTGGAGGTTCATTATCAACGCAAGGTGAAAATCCGTAATCGTAACCGAGCAGTGGTTCAACTGATGGTTCTTCACAACCCATCAATTCGAATTTAAGACAAGCATTATCCATGTAACTGACAATTCCAAGAATTACAAATCGAGCCTGAACGTATTTTGGAAGAGTAATCATTGCCAACTCTCCATAATTACCTGGATCCCTCATGGTCAAATTGAAATTAGGGAAGTAGACGACATAATTCTCACTCTCGGCCTGCTTGTAAAAGAAGCGAATTTCCGTTGGTCTGCCTACAACATCATTGGTGACAACTCCTTTCACCAGAATGGCCTTGACTCGATAAATTCTTCCCAAATCGACATTAATGTAAGTGAAAGGTTCCTGTTTGCCACACCAACCGGTAACGGAATTCAAACGAACATTCTTCGCCTCATAGTTCGGTCTCTCTGAAGTGGCATTAATTGCCGAATCTGGAATACGTCCCGAAGAGAGACCAAGAGGTTTCACAACTTTGCATTCAGGTTCCCTCAAACAAACAATAGGTCTTGGATTAATCAAAATATATCCCGGACGATTGCATCCAAACTGAACCTCAGAACCTTGTTCATAACTTCTTGCAATTTGGAAACCATCACTAGGTCTGCCGGGATCTTCACAAACTGGACCCTCACAACGTAAATTTCCAAAGTCCCAAACGGCATTCGCTTGACAACGAACAACATTATCATGACGATTAGTTTGTCCCGCTAGTTTGAAAGTATCTTGACAACCAAAGAAAAAGGACGATTGGTATTTTGTATCTAAATGTTGTCCATACTCAGCTCCTGGTGTTGGTAGAGGTTTTCCACAATCGACACGCGGACAAGCTGGTTGCATACCCGAGAGCCAATAATCAGGAAGACCCTGTTTCGGATCGTAGACACACTGTCGGAAATTGGATGAAGCAGTATTTCGTAGATAGCGTCCATTGTTATTGCACTTAAGAGTAACGTTTTGTTTAAAAGGAACTAAAACACTCGTTTCGTCAATTCGAATAACAGAAAGGCCTTCATTTTTATCATCCGGAAGTGAGACACACTTTGCGTATTGACACTCGGGTGTTGTTCCATTCCACTGTCCACTGGATGTACAAATAACAGCTGAGGAACCCGCCAGAACGTAACCAAAGTCACACTGGAATTTTATCAAATCACCAAAGTGATATTTGTCCTTGGTTGCTAAAACTTTACCGTTTTCGGGAGCTGGTAATGCGGGACACATTACTGGAACGCATGTTTTGTTTCTCTGATATAGATCGCCATCACGTTCACCCGATTCCGATTTTTCGATATAAAAACCAGCTGTTCCGTTAGATTTGTACAATTCATAGCCGGTGTTACACATGCAGGAATAACTGCCTGGACTGTTTATACACTTCTGATGGCAACCTCCATTTTTCGTTGAACATTCGTTGATGTCCATACATTCCAATCGGGTGCAGCCCATCAGTTCGAGTTTGACACAAGGTGCGCCGACGTAATCCTGAATTTTGAATCTGATAAATCTGGCTTCGATCGGGACTGGTAGGTTAAGAACCGATAGGGTGGGTTCAAGTATTCTAAATTCGACCGGAGTACCGTCTGGGTTTGTATAATCCTTTAGAGCGTCAGTTAGGTCGTCAGTATACTGAATCCGAACAGCAGTCGCAAAGGCTGTATTCCCATCAGATCTGACAACAACTTGCGTTCTGAAACCTCGAATAATTGTTGGTGCTTTCATGTCAATTGTCACCCAATTTACTCCCGGTTCGATGCTGTTGCCACACCAACCATCTCCATTATTCAGACGAATTCCCTGGTGAATAATTAATAATTAGGTAAAGATAATTAAAGAATTGACGAAACAATAGTTCAAGGCTACTTACGGATTTGGAATATCCAACTTCAGAACTAGAGACAATTATGGACTCATCAGGAATACCTCCGTTAATCAAACCCAAATCTCCAATAGGTCGGCATTCCATTGTTGGTGTGAATCCAGATTTGCATTTGCAGGTAAAAGCCCCTGAGGTGTTGATACACTCGGTTGAAGCGGAATCGCACTGACTTGATGCACACTCGTTAATATCTATTGAAAACAATCATTGTTGAAACATCTAATCATGAATTTAGGTCCAGAGGAAATTAATTTAACTACCTTCACATGTAGGAACATTGTCGAAATGCTGATTAGTACCACATTGGATAATATTCGATCCCGTTGATTTGTAACCCCTGTTACACTGAACTCTAGCCTCATCACCGAAATAATATTCTCTAGTCAAATCGACAACAAAACCATTTTTGATATTCGGAAGTATCGGACATTTGGCACCTGAAAAAGAAATTTATATTTTTTTATATTCCCTTTGTACTTTTCGTCAAAACAAATGATGATTAAATGGTTACTTACGGGAACAAACTGGAACGTCGTCAGACCAGGTGCCATTACTCATGCAAAGTATCACCGGATGTCCACTTCTAACATAACCTGGTTCACATTCAAATCTCACAATAGTTCCATAACTTCGACCGCCGCCATTTAAGACTGTCATGTTAGCGTGAGGCGCCTCCGGAAGTGGTGGACACTGTGACGCTAAATATAATTAAAACAATTGGAATTATTTTACAAACAATTGATTGTTCTTCATATCTTTAGATTTGAAGAATTTCCTCCGATTTCTACGAAAAATTTTTCCAGAAGATAGAGATGAAATAAACTTACCAAGACATGAGGGTTTCTTCTCCCATCGTCCATCGGATAAGCAAGATATTTTCTCCACGGGTTTACTGCTTGGAAAAGCAAAACCAGCGTAACATTGATAAGTGGCTAGACCACGATAGGTCACGTTTGTTGAGCCAATGGAGAATCCATTGTCGATCTGAGGAACTGGACCGCAATAAACCTCTTGACATTTTGGAATGTAGGTGACTGACCAATTACCACCTGGCAAACAGGTTGTGGAAATTTTGGCCTTTCCGGTTGCGAATTCCTGACCGAGGAGACAGGAGAAAGTGACGGTTGTTCCAAAAGCAGTGTCCCTATTGGAAGCCAGTGCTCCCTCACCGGGATGTAGTGGTGGACAATCTAGAGGAATATTAGTTATTATATCACGACTCATTAGATTACCATTAGATAATCAGATGATAATTATTATTTTTGGGTCAATGTTCTTACCGGCGGAGAAAGCAGCCTGCCAACCGCTGCTACTGTGAAGCGCATCAGACACAAATCTAATCAACATTTCACCACTCTCTGCTGTTAGGGTAATTTTGGGTCGTGTATTCGATGTGAATCCGTTTGCGGAATGAAGCCTCAGTCCATTTGCGTTTGGACCGTCGTAAACCTGGTCAAATTTATATCGTTAATCACAATTACAATTAAAACTACAAGTGGAATTACAATTACAAATTATAATTACATTTACAGTTATAGTTACAGTTACAATTATTTAATTAAAAAAGAGGTTGACCATACCTGGATAAAATCAGTTTTGTGGACGTCAAAGTTGGTGAACTTTAGAGAAAGAGGACCACCTTGAGGATTTTTGACTTTGTACAAACATTCCTGATTGTTTGGATAGTCATTGAGTGCATAGGAGGGGGATTGGACAGTTCCATTTTTAGCGATGATTGTCGCCTTACATCCTTGTGTATAGCGTATGCTGAAACCACGTTTAGAGTCACCCAAACTTGTTTTAAAGTAGAGGTAAAGATTACTGCCAGTTGACATAATCACGGTTGGATTGTCTTCAGAATTTCCCGTCAGTCTCGCAATTGGTCTGCTCATTGGCGAGTCACCATCGCGAATCAAAATGTAATCACGATTCATCTCCAGATCCAGATCCTCGATCTTTGAAAAAATTTCCGATTTATTAAAAATCATCGTGACTGAGTAATTGACAAAAAAATACGTTACAATTTGATTGCTGAAGGAATTAATTAAGTGAACTAAGTCAAGAATTTAATGAATTCAGTAGGTCAGGTAATTAATTAAGGGGAAATTGATCAATATTTGGACACGTTCTCTACTGTAAGTAGACAGGAATTAATTAGCAGAGGCAATTTCCTTTTGTAATTAATTCCTTAAGTTGATGAATCAATTAACTAGGGGAATTTATCAACCCGGGGGGAATAGCAATTGCGGAATAAATTGAAAATTAATGAACTAAAAATTAGTGAATGATTACATTACTGAACAAAACATTACTGAAAGAATATTTAGTTTTAGATAGTTAAACATTTGGTTTAAGGAATTCGTAATTGAAGCATGTAAAACGTATATTACAGGTATTGTGTCGTTTATCCTGATCTCTTTTAAGTATTATGGTCGTGAGAATGAATCCTTTGTAGTGGCTACACAAGATAATGACAGGTAGAGGATAATTACGTTGTAAGTGCTTCTGCTGGCTTATACTTACTTCCAAGGACATAATTCGTCCGGGTTGTGCCTGAAGGATGTAGAGGCACTCCAGACCGCCGGGATAATTTTGCGGATAGCCAGGTGACGTTAGCACTTGTCCTTGGGGTGTTGCTCGTAATATACCACCGCAAGTTTGTGGCTCCGTTTTCCAGGAAGCACGGAATCCCTTTCGTTCCACTGAACCATCAGTGCTAAATTTGATGATCATGAAATTAGACGCGGACACAAATAATTTATTACTCAATTCCTGTTTTCCGGAGAGTGTTGCCAAGTTCACTGATTTCTCCTCCGTTCTGCCGCCAACCAAAATTTGGACAATGTCGAAACTCTTCTCGGTCTCGAATTCTTGAAACTGTTTTCAAATAATTGAGTTTTCATTAACAATTAATGTATTTCATTAACTATATGAAAAAGGAACTTTGATTCTTACTTGGAGTAGAATATTGTGTCCCTGTGGGCCTTCGAGTGTCCATTTGCAATTGCTCAGGGGTCCGTACTTGTGTGGATAATTGGGGCTCTCAACAACATCACCACTACTCGCCATGTAGTAATGACAATTTCCGGGACAATCCAATTCATCGGAAAAATCACCGCAATCGTCTTGTTTGTCACACTTGAATGCGGAATTTATGCATTTGCCGTTTGAACAGTGGAAGGAACCTAATGATATTAGATACGGAATTATAAACCAGTAGAATTTTTAACCAGCAGATAACAATAGAATTTAATGAAATGATACTATTTCCCTCGATAATAGTTCATAATAACAGTAACCAAAAGAAACTGTTATTGTTCCACTCGAATGTGACGATAGTAATCTCCTAACATTGTACAGCAAACAATGATCGGTTTAAATTTTAAACCAGAAAAAAATTTGCCCACCTTCTCTACTAACTAAAAAAAAAGTTTTTGATTAAAATTACCTGCAGGACATGCATTAGCACGGCACATAAAAGGCAAAAGGGATTCGCACGTTGTAAGTTCCCAAGATTGATGTTGTTCATCAGTAATGGCGACATCGACACACTCACCAGAATGAGGATTCGGTTGTTTAGACGCCCAGAAACCTAGATACAAAAGAAGAAAGAAATTTGAAAAAAAAGTTTCTGTAAATATTATCAAAAATCTAACAAGTATTATGCAAAACTATCTGGTTCCGGTAGACACGCAAATTATACAAAATACGCACACACTGCTTACGCTCATCATGTCTGGCCATTGTTGTTGGGGAAAAAGTGTGTCTTAATGCAACCGAGTTCCGCATTTCCGCGACCTCAATTCAATTTTACTGTGAGTGGTAAGGGGAACTTGTCTAACGATAAGTCTTTAGAAGCAGGTTTTCAGGTGGGATTCATACTTCCTGTTTACACTTGGTAATATTAAATCAATAGTGAAACAACACAGATTGTAAATTCTGTTTATTTATTAGTTTGTTGTTGTTTGTAAAATTTGTTCGGAATTTCTAAACTTTTAGAACGATAAATTGATGATTTATTAAAAGCTTAGCCTTACTTTTTAAAAACAAATTATTTGAGGATACCCTCGGGCGAGCCCTCGAGATAGTGGGAGATTTAATAATAGAGTAATCGAAAGTGTTTATCATAGAAAGTTGTTTGTACCTGCATATTGTGAGACCAGCATGCCCGCTGCTGATTCAAGGGTGTTGGTTCTCAAATCATCAAGAGATGCCAAACCCAACCAATATTTGTCCAAATTACGTCCAATCATTCCCACTGTCATATTGTTCTCGCTGTACGATTCCACAACCATCAGCTCGCTTCCGTACCTATCGAAAAAAATAGATTTTGCAATTTTTGACAAATTTCGTCTCCATTTGAATCAAATTTCCTTTCTGTCAAATTCGATATTCTACAGGTAACTGCATATATGCAGGTTCCGGTTTGTATACCTTTTCGAAAACCGCTTCATTTCTATCAGAATCCTATCAGTTCGTAGCAAAAATTATACAATTTTAGTCGTAATTTAATCATTTAGTAGAAAATTACCACGAAATAATAACATAATGGTAGAAATTCCATGGTTTGCAAAAATCTATGCAAATCGAATAAGAGCAGCATATAAGCAGTTACCTGTATTAAATTTCCCATTTTGAAATTCTTTCCCTACCCAATTCAGTAGGAAATACAAAAGCATTGAAAGTCAACTAAATTATTTATGTTTGCTGGCAAAAATTTTGAAAGCACAACAATATTGTGTATTACATGCTCTGAAGAGCAAAATTTCATCATCATCTCTTTCTTTCTCTTCGTTAAATCTGTGCGAGTTGAATGCGAGTGCCAATCATCTCCGGTATATAGCTTACCTTCTGCATAGCTCGGCTGCTTTTTCCCATGAATGCTTGATATTGAAGAATTTGTAACAGTGGATTCCCCTTAGTTCCCATCCTGTAAAACAAAAAAATACAGTGGAATCGTTAAAATCTACAGAGAAAAAGTTGAACAACAATAAATCTTCAATTCAAATTGTTATAAATCTTGCATAATAAATAATAATAAAACTTGCGTAATAAAGATATTTAATTGCGGGAATAAAAAATAATATCGATGAATTGATTAACCTAAGTCATTAAATTAATTTCAGAATAGTGCCCAACTTTTCTAGTTCAGAAACTAAAGCAGTGACGCAGGGATTTATCTAAAGGAGAAATCAGTTGTTTATAACGGAGTCCATCAACTGAAGGAATATAATAGATTGGAAAAACTGAAGGAATTAAGTAGGAATGAGAATCAATCAACTGAACGAATTCGTTCGAAGCAATTAACGAACATAAGGAATTCGGTAGGGACTAGGGATGGAAATCAATTAACTGAACAAATTCATTTAAAGGAATTAATTCTGAGATAAGAAGTAATAGAATTCCGAAAACTCGGAATTTCTGTGTGAAAAATTAATAAAACTTTATTAGAAGTGGTAATTAACTGGAGGGAGTTATCAAATGAAAAATTAGAGTTGGCAAAGTTAGCCAACGGAAAGAATTAATTATTCCGTGTGAATCAATTGAGGAATTAGAGTTCCAAAAACTAATCAGCGAAATCAATAAATTAATCGAATTAATTACAAAATTAAAATTACGAAACGTTATCTACTATAGGAATTAATTAACTGAAGGAACTCATCAATTGCAGAATTAGAGATACGAAAATTAACCAACAATGGGAATTATTTAACTGAAGGGATTTGACAATTGCAAAATTAGAGTAAACGAAAATTAACCAACGACTGGAATTAATAAACTGAAAGAATTCATCAATTGCAGAATTAGCGTTATACGAAAATGAATCCGCAAAGGGAATTAATTAACTAAATGGATTTATCAATTGTAGAATTAGAATTACGAAAATTAATCGGTAATGGGAATTGATTAGATAAAGGGATTCAGCGACTGTATAATTAAAGTAAAGGACAATTAACCAACGACTGGAATTAATTAACTAAAGGAATTCAACAATTGTAGAATTCGAGATACGAAAGTTAACCAACAAAGGGAATTAATTAACTGAAAGGATTTATCAATTGCAGAATTAGAATTACGAAAATTAATCGGTAAAGGGAATTAATTCGATAAAAGGATTCATTAATTACATAATTAAAGTAAACGAAAATTAACCAACGACTGGAATTAATTAACTAAAGGAATTCAACAATTGTAGAATTCGAGATACGAAAATTAACCAACAAAGGGAATTAATTAACTGAAAGGATTTATCAATTGCAGATATAGAATGACGAAAATTATTTGGTAAAGGGAATTAATTAGATAAAGGGATTCATCAGTTGCATAATTACATATAATTACTGAGAATTAATTAACTGAAGGGATTCATCAATTGCAGAATAGAATTACGGAAATTATTTGGTAAAGAGAATTAACTAACTGAAGGGATTCGTCAAGTGGATAATTAGAGTAAATGAAAAGTAATCAAAGATTGGAATTAATTAACTAAAGGAATTCATCAATTCCAGATTTAGAATTACGAAAATTAATCGCCGAAGGGAATTAATTAACTGAAGGGTTTTATTAATTGCAGAATTAGCGTTGTCTAATTTAGTCCCCGAAGGGAATTTATCTGATGGGATTCATCAATAATTGCACAATTAGAATTACGAAAATTAATCGGCAAAACGTATTAATTAACCAAAGGGATTTTTCAATTGCAGAATTATAGTTACGAAAATTAACCAACCAAGGGAATTAATTATGTGAAGAGATTCGTCAATTGCAGAATTAGAGTTACGAAAATTATTCGACGAAGGGAATTAATTAACTGAAAGGAGTTAACAATTGCAGAATTAGAGGTAAGAAAATTAACCAACAAGGACAATTAATTGGATAAAGGGATTCTTCAATTGCAGAATTACTGGGAATTAATTAGATAATTAATTCCATTCAGTTAATGGATTAATCAATTGCAGAATTAGCGTTGTCGTTTTTAGCCACCGAATAAAATTAATTATCCGAAGGGATTCATCAATTTGCTGAATTAGAATTACGAAAATTAATGACCAAACGAATTTATCAATTGCAATTGATAAATTCGTTTGGTTCAGCCATAGACTACATATCGAAATCAGTAATTAAAATTCCAATTAGCCGGAAAAATTCGTCTTCAACGTTTTACCGTCAATCATTTAACTTCTAATCTACCCATTAAGATACACATTATCCTAAAATGAATACTAATTAATCCACTTTGTCAAGGGCTTTTAAAATATTTCTCTCTCAATGTTATTTCATCTCCCTCTCATTTATATCTAATTGTTATCACAATTTCCCCACGTTCAAAGGTATTCCAAAATTTTTTCCCACCAAGTGAAAGTATCCTCCATCAATCCCAACGGACTTTCTATCCAAAAATTACTGGTCACTATCAGAAAATTTAAATTAAAAAAGAAATTATCTAAAGAACTTTTGTTTAAGCGGAAAATTCATGCACAACTACAGAAATTAAAATCTCCCATAAGCGAGCCCATAAATGATGAGTTAATTACAGTTTCTCAATGCGATGAAAGTGGAGTTAGCGAGCTGCTTAGTGGAAAAGATTGAGGAAGACATTGTCATGACTAGATTGAAAACAATGGAGATTATTTATCACAACTTGACCATCATCATCATCATCATTATCATCAGGAGAAATTTTCAAGTCTGGGGTAATGGCGAAGCGAGCACCTTGGCCCACCCGGACGATATGGCTTTAGGGTCATTATCTCTTTCGCTCACAAGAGAGGCGCGCTCATACGAAAGAGAATGAGGAGGCCAACCGTTAGGGAATGTATAATAACGAAAGGCGACGCAGTGCCCAGGCTGAAAAGAGACTCATCGACCTCGATCGTTTTTAGTGCGCGCGCGGGAAGCATTGACTAAGGTAGGTTGGTAGGTTGCTGGGTAGTAGGCGATATTTATGTATGTAGGTAGATTTTTTTTTCCCCAATGAAAATTTTTCATCATCAAATGCAGAAAAAGAATCGCAACAAAATTGACGCAATTTGGATGCACTCGCAAAGTTCATTGCATTCAATCACCATTTATAAAAGCCTGTCCAGACAAGTTCAACTATGGTTTCTCATAATCTGGTTTGACGACCAGAGACTCGATTCACAATGATCGTTTCCGGGAAATTGATCCGTGTCACCGACCTCACATGAGATCGAGAGCCACCCTTGACTTCAATACTTCCGAGTGGGATTTATCGCCTCCTGCTGGGAGGAGTATTTCTTGAAAAAGAAACCAACACATTTTTTTCATTTTGAAAAAAGTTCTTTTCAAAAGTTACCTTTCGAAAAACCTTTATAGTTAAATAGCTAAACTCGAAAACTTTTCGACTTGCGCAATAGATCGTCTTTGGATTTGCGCATATTCGCGCCTGCGCAGTTCGTCTTAGCGACATTTCTCGACATGCGCAATACATGGTTAGGCAGATTGCGCATGCGCAGTACTTCTTTTCCATTCCTCCTTTCTTCACTGAATCATTTTTCGATAAAACACACAAAAAATTAATAATGGTGGATAAATAAAATTGTAAAATCGTAGCAATCCGTAAATTGAATTAAAAAATAATTTGCTACGGTTAGTATTATTTTAAAGAAAGGAAAAAAAATGATAATAAAAATCGTAGTAGTGGTGGTGATGATAATAATAATAATAATAATAAAAATCTAAAATTCAAATGAAGTGATTGTTTGAAGGAAGAAATAAGAGAGGAAAAAAAGAAATGAAGTGTTGTATAGAAATTGTCATCGGCAATAATAGACTTAGAAGGTCATGATGAAAGGCAAACGCAGGTGAATGAGCTCGTGAGGTCCAAGTACTTGTGATGACGTACACATGTCATGCGTCTACGGATGTTTTATATCGTGCATGTGCTCACGTCTTTTCTCTCTAGAAAGCGCGTGAACCGATTTTGAAATGCGAACGCATTCACTCAAATCACATTGAAATGTTTTGAGTTTTCTTGTATTATTCACGGCAATTGCGAATGATTTACAAAAGGCCTCTCGCTGTATACAACTTTCCGATATCATTATATTTACTTGTACCATGCTTTTATTTTTTATTTTCAATAAAATGAAAGTTCATTTTATCAGGTGAAATAGATAAACAAATTTCTATTCATTTCATATTTGATAATGATAGTAAATTAGTCTAATCGCTTTTATTATTTTATTATTATTATTATTATTATTATTATTATTATTATTATTATTATTATTATTTTTGTTATTGTTATTGTTATTATTTTTCTATTATTTTTTTATTTACTTTTTTTATTTACTATTTTTTATTTATCCTTTTTTCATTTTTCATAATGATTCACTTTTTTTATAACTTCCTATAATTATTACTAATAATAACGAACGATTTTGAATCTAATTTGCGAATTGAATGAAAATACGTTTTGAATTTTCGCGCCAATATTGCAACTGACTTTTGGTATTTATACAGCGGGTAGTTCCCCTCGTTTGTGAGTGACGAGTTCTCTTGCCATCTGACGGAATTATTTCCAGTATATTGGCGCGAAATTCAAATCGAATAAAGCGAGAAATTGTTAATTTACCATTAATATAGTAAATTATTAATAATTTAATAATAATTACGTAATAAAATTAATAAATTAGTAAAATAATAATTTTTTTCAACAATTATTATTTAATTTAAGTGTAAATTAATTTAAAAATATTGTAGTAATTTTAAAAATAAAATGTGAATGTAAATTGAATAGAAAAAAAATTCTATTCACTCGAAAAATAAAATCTGGACGTAAATTAATTGGAACAAAAATTTTAATTCATTCGTTGAAATAAAATTTGTATTTTAAATAAATAATTGAGGAAAAAATTGTTTCTAAAAATAAAATCTAAATTTAAATAAATTGAGGAAAAATTCGTT